TTAAATATTTTTTATCATCTAATTATTTTTTATGAAATGTTTTTATGAAATAAAAACTTACAGAACTTAATTCCCATATTTTCAATGTTTTGTCATCAGAAGCAGATACTAACAACCTACTATCACTAGACCAGGCAACATCAGAAATACCAAGTTTATGACCAGAAATGGTTTTCTCAAATTTTCCATCATAAGATCCCCAAATTTTGATAAGTTTGTCGGCAGCTAAAAACAAATGAAATTATTATTATTATTAATATAATATATTTATTATTATATATACTTTACTGTTGTTTTATTTAACACATTTATATATTTTACATATTTATTTTACAATATTAAAGCAACTCTGTTATGTTTCAATAACTTTTTAAGTATCTTTGTACTTACAAGAACTTGCTAACCATTCTCCATTAGGACTAAACTTGACAGATGACACAGCTTTAGTATGACCTGCTAGCGTATACTTCAATGTATAATTTGGCTTCTGCAAGTAATGAATGTACAAAATTTACATAAAGACTTAAATTATTTTTTATAAATATTATACAATTCATTTTCTTATACATGATTAAGAAAGTAAAAAAATGCAATATATAACATGTACTTATGATATAAATATAACAAACTTACCAATGTTGAACTACCTTTCGTTCCGGTAGCAGATGTAGTAGACGAATTATTAACAGACGACTGATGACTCGGTGAAGGCCCAAGTGGTACCATTTTTTCCAATTGTTTATTAGGACGCTATACTGAAGAAAAGCAACGAGATCTAAGGTTACGTCGTTTCTTAACTTTCGAGGTGAAACGTCGATTTTTGCTTACCTCACAAGGAGGTATTATTTCCTTAAAAAAGATCCCTTGCATAATATTAATAATGAAGTAAATCGTAAAATTTTCTTCATCAATAACATTCAACAAATCTTTTCATCTTTAGCAAATAAACAGCACGTGTAGTTCAAACGACTAAATCGATATTTCATTCCTTCAATACAATTATCGAAAATCGTAGTTCGAGTTTACTCCGTGAAGTCGATAATACTACCCAATGTATTTAGTTTGGATAGTAATGATACAAAATCAATTAGTTATTTTTAATTTTCAACTTTTGTTTTTATATGAAGAGCTTTTCGAAAATCAGTCTGTTGTCAAACGAAAATTTATATTTTAAAGAGTTTGAAAAATATTTAAAAGTTATGCAATAAAATTTATAAATTATTAATTATAATAATTGTAATTTTAAATTTGTATAATTGTTATTTAAAAATATTCCCTAGAATGCGGAAATGTATAATTGTTAAAAGAGGATATATTTATTAAGGCTGTTCATCACGTTTTGTTTTATAATAATTTACGCCAAGCATAAGAACAGGTGTAATTCTTGACCGATTTTAATGAACAAGGTCTTATTTTAAAGACAAAGATTCATCGTTCAAATATTTGAAAAAGCAGTGTCCTGGGTTAAACCTTCATCTTTACAGTGAGATCATTTTCATCAAAATTAAAAGTTAAGAATTACACCTGTTCTTATTATTAGCGTAAATGATATTTTTGACATTTTTCGCAAAGAAAAAGCTTCGTACTGTGGCGCCCCTTGAAATTTGCGGCAATAGAGAAAAAGCTCGCACCACCATTACTAATTTCCATTTACGTTTGAATGGGACGCTTTGTATCGCGAAGTAGCGATTATTTTCTTGCTTGTATACAGAAATAGCTGATGCTCAAATTTTCTAAATAAATCCAAATGCAAGGAAATGCATTTCACGTTGCTTACATAGAAAATCTACGGTAACTTATCCGGTCACTCTTTGAACAGATGATTCTGACAAAAATAAAAAAAAAAAATGTCACAAAGATAGCAACGCGCGAGAAAATTAAAATAATTTTGATTTAAAATTTCAATATTTAAAAATTTTTATCTCTGGGTTGATGGTCTTGAATAATATAAATATATATGATCCTTTTATTAATTTTGACGATTACCCAATTAGTTTTCTTACGTATGACGTTAATAAAATCAAACAATACATGAGGGTAAATGGGTTTTCAAATGCAACAACGTCCACATGGTGAGATCTGGATCGGTAGTACTTCCAATATATCGAAATCTTATGGGATGAAAGTATTACCGAGCGAATGAGTGCATATTACAATACTTTTCAAAATCTTTTCATTCTAAATTTAATTAAACATTAACGTACTTCCATCTTACATTATTAATCATACTTCGATAAATAAATGAATCAGATATATTAGAATACTAAAATAATATCTTATAGAAACGCACAGAAAACTTTTCTATAGCATTTATGTTTGCTGTCATTTCTATTTATTCTTATTTACTTTTATTAATTATTAGTTATAAGTCTCAGGTGGGACCCATGGTTAGGACCCATGGGTGTGGGCTTTTATGCGGGTTTCTGTTTCAGCATCATGTAGAGCTCTTGGCTGCGATTCTTAAGAAGGGCTCTTCAATGTGGATCCTTGGATGGGTCTCCTTCATGGCTCAAATCAAAATTGAACTCTATTTTAGTACTTCGATTTTGTTCGAGTGGATATTCAATATGTTCACCTCGTTCTTTTTTCTTTTCTTTCTTTGGGTTTCCTTTCTTTTCTTTCTCTTGCTCTTTTTTTCATCTCATATTTCTTCTCTTTCTCTTCTTCATCTTAACTTCTTCTTTTCCAAGGATCATCGAGAGATCATCAAACGATATTCAATTTTTCAACCTCTCATTCGGAGTTCCATCGTTGTCACATGTGCGCACGTCTCGTCTTTCTTTTCTTCTCTTTCTCTTATTTTCTCCCTCTTTTCTTCTCAAATCTGAATCACCGAAGGGTAGATACATCTGCGATCGGATGAGTCCGATATATCGTTGAATGGGTCGATTCATCATCAATTTTTACGCGAGAATACAAGAAGGATAGATGAACACTTGCGCGCGTGTTGCGGGCACGAACGATTATGCTTAATAATTTGTGGTGAAACAAATGCATACCGACATAGTATCTCTCACGGATCACTGCAAGACGGATAGTACAATAAAAAAAAGATTTACATTTGAGAGACTGATGAGTTTACAGTCTACTTTAATCTACACGAAACCAACTGTTATTTACGCGTGAAAGATATACTAATCAATCTTATATACTGATACGATAAACGCATGGTAGGGATAGCGTTCTCATTTGCATTTGTAGTTCATATTTTGTCCATATCTGCCGCTGGAGTTACACGTGCTTCGAAGCGAAAGTTGATGAACAACGTTAAATTGATATTTTTAAAAGTTGATATTCTCAATTTCTATCGTATAATTATTATTTAAAAAAAAACAGGAAAAAGAATATTCGAAGAAAATATTTCACATTGAAATTAAATTTATAATTTACAAATAAAAGATATATATATATAGGATTTGATATTTCATTTATAATGAATTCTCATCTAGTAATTTCAATCGTGTTCTTAGTTTGCCATTCAATAGTGCATTGTATATTTTAGATTTAAGTAACATATTACAAATTGTTATAATAACAATTAAATCAAGATTAAAACAGACTTTAGAAATGTCTAGGCGCCCGGAACATTTAGCACCTCCTGAAGTGGTATGTTTTTATTAAATTATAATCTACAGTGTATAGAGGTTATGTAAAACTCTCATGTGTATTTTCTGTTATTAGTTTTACAATGAAGACGAAGCACGAAAATATACACAAAGGTAAATTTTTTTGTAAAGTTAAATAAATTATTTATTATAAAACTATTATCTTATTTGTACAACTTGGTCTCCACAGTTCACGTATTATGGATATTCAAGTGCAAATGTGTGAACGAGCTGTTGAGTTATTATTATTATCAGAAGATGCACCAGCATTATTATTAGATATTGGTTGTGGTTCAGGACTTAGTGGGAGTGTACTGGAGGATGAAGGACATACCTGGATTGGAATCGATATTTCTTCTGCTATGCTTAGTAATTATTTTTTTAGTTTATTCCTTGATTTATTAATCCAACTACATAATGTAATCTTTTATACATATATAAAATAGATGTTGCTCAAGAGAGAGAAACAGATGGAGATTTAATTTTGGGAGACATGGGTCAAGGCATGCCATTTAGAGCAGGAAGTTTTGATGGCGCAGTGAGTATTTCTGCATTACAATGGTTATGTAATGCAGATAAAGCTACTCACAATCCTAGCAAGAGACTATATCGATTTTTCTCTACACTTTATTCTTGTCTTACAAGATCTGCAAGAGCAGTTCTTCAATTTTATCCGGAGAATAATCAACAAATTGAATTAGTAATGATACAAGCTACAAAAGCTGGATTTTTTGGTGGTATGGTCGTTGATTTCCCTAACAGTACAAAAGCAAAGAAGTTCTTTTTAGTTCTAATGACAGGAGGACCAGCTGCGCTTCCACAAGCTTTAGGTACAAATGAAGGAAATTCAAATATTACTTATACATCGAAAAGGTATTTTTTTAATTTTTAATGTATTTTCTTTAATTCATTTCTTATAAAATCAAAAATAATTATAATTTATTTCCAAAGAGAACATATCAAGAAAGCAAGAGGTAAACCTTTAAAAAAGAGCAGAGATTGGATTGCGGAAAAAAAGGAAAGACGTAGAAAACAAGGTAAAATAGTTTGTGCAGATTCTAAGTATACTGGCAGAAGAAGAAGTGGTCGTCTTTGAACAAATTTTTTCGAATAATACCATTGTTCTGTGATAAAAACTGCTCAAACGTATATTTGCAATAATAATAATAAATTATCAGAATGTACATATACATTGCAGAATGAGTGTTGTGTATGTACATATACAAAAAAATATCTCATCACGTTGATGTGAAATAATGTACAAAAAATTATAATAATAAATCAATTCTTTTCAATCTTCTTTCGTTAAATTTTAAATGTAACTATATATATTATTTATTAAAAAATAAATTGATATTTGATAGAATGATAAGCATTTTTTTATTAAGAATAAAATTTATCATTCATCTTCAGTTTTAATAATATTATCCAAATGTATAATTATTGTATACTTCACGAAACATATTACGACAATTCATTTTAACATTAAGTTTTGCACATAGTAAAAACACGCCTGATAATTTTCTATGCAAACTATAAATTTCTTCAGGAGGAGGACACAGTCGGTGATTTAATATAGTTGGAACCAGTGCTTGAATTCTAAAGTATAATAAATCATAAGCTATAAAGTTAATTTAATGTAAATTTAAACTAAAGATTATAAATTACCTCTTCGTAACATCTTGTCCACCAAAATCAAAATATTCTCGATCACTTTGAAAAATTTGTCCTAGTATCATTACCGTCTCCACATGAGCATTTTCCATAATCTACAATAAAATTATGAATCTCTGTTAATTTTAGTAAGTATTTAGCATTTGCAAGTTGAAAATTTATACATGTTTCTTTATTTCATATAATATTTAAATTTAAATAATATTTTTTGTAAAGACCTTAGTTTCATATCCAGTTAAAAAACCCATATCTCTGGATATATTCAAAACTTTTTCTCTATCTCCTAAACTAGCTGCATTTATAACTTCTATGTATTTATCCATGAATGCTTTTTCATAACTTCGACATGCTCCAAAGTCCAGCAATACAAGCTAAAATTACAAAATATTTGTAATGTTTATAACACTGTCGTAATATAAATTTTTTGTTATTAATATTTTTTTTTAATGAGAATAGATTATAAACCTGTTTTGTTTCAGGATTATAGAAGAAATTTGACCAATTTGGATCTGTTTGCATATATCGAAATACAAATAATTCCATTAAACACAAACGCATGATTAATTTGCATATATTTTCTCGTATTTCTAAATCCATTTCAGCACATTTATCTACAGGAATACCATCCACTAGTTCTGTTGTAAATACTTGACTCGTTGAAAGTTCATCTAAAAATTATAATAATTTATAAGATTATGGCAGCTTATAATATAATAATTATTTATTAAATAAGTTTTTACCTATAACTTTTGGTATATAATAATCATTGTAAGGACTCATAAGCTCTTTATATTTTTTTGTACATTCTGCTTCTCTTAGATAATCCACTTCCCAAGCAAGTTCACGTTTTGCTACTTCAACTAAATTGTCAATAAACATACCTTCTGGAAACATATTCCACACCTATGAAAATTTATATACATTAGAGATTCTTAATAAATATTAAACTTGTTTATATTTTTAATAATACCTTCATTATGCCTATTAAGTTTTCAATATCACTCTGGATACCAGCAGCTACACCAGGATATTGAATTTTAATTGCTACATCTTCTCCAGTTAATAATGTAGCATGATGTACTTGACCTATAATAAACAATTTTTAATATTGTCTTTTTATATATCAAATATACATACCAATAGATGCAGCAGCAAATGGTTTTTCTTCAAATTTTGTTAATTTATTTCGCCAATCGTAACCCAATTCAGAACAAAGTACTCTCTAAAAATTTATTAATAAATCACTTATTTTGAACACGTATAAATGTATATAAATATTATATTGTAATAAACATTGTACCTCAATTTGCCATTTTGGCATAAAATCAGCACTTTGTCTAACTCTTTCAAAAACTTTTTGTAGTTCTGGACTTATAATAGTATTATCTTGGATACTCAATATTTGTCCAATTTTCAAAGCAGCACCTTTAATATATATGTAATATGTAATTAAATATATATTTAATGACATATATGTAATAATACCAAAATAAAATTTTTAAAAATATATACATTATATACTTATCTACCTCTTACTTTGCATAATGTTGTGACAATTCTTTCTGCATTAGCTTTAGTAAGAAACATATTATCAACAGTTTCACTCATCCTTTGTTCCTTTAAACCTAATGATCTACGTGTATATTCTGCAATCGTTCCGATTCCAAGACCAATACCCAAAGTACCAAAATTAACCATTCTCTGAAGTCTTGTAGAAGGGACTGTTCGTTCTTTTGCATTAGCTGAAAGCTTTAATGATATATATATATATATATATATAATATATTAATGATATATGTATATACATATAAAATCGAAAATGTATTATGAATAATAGTTACAGATTGTTTAGGCTTTATAGATGGTTTAATATGAGGTTTTGTTGAAGCTTTTGAAGTATGTACATCATTTTGTTTTACTTCTGTTTTATCATTGACATTTTGAGAAGAAAGTACATTTTCTGAGACCTGTTTTCTTTCAGCTTTCTCATGTTCTAACTCTAATTTATGTAAAATTTCCTTTTCTTTTCTAGAAAGTTCAATTTTTGGTACGTTTTCCATCTTGGTTATTGTTTCTATTTTTTCTTTGACAGTTGCATATTTTTTGTTCGCAATAAAAGTATTCTGTAAATTATCTTCCGATATTGTCTGTTTTGAATTATTTTTTACTGACATATCTTTTTCATCAATAGGTATTTCCTTGGGATCTTTTGCTGAATTATACACGTATAATTTTGTTTTATGTACTGTAGGTTTATAATCATCATCAGCGATGTTCAATGCTCGATTAGTTCTAGTTTTTATATACTGTGTCATGCCTTTTTCAACAACATTTAAACGATTTAATGTATTCTTTAATTCAACTGCCACTTGTTCCTATAATATGACAATAGTTTAAATTGTTTATACAAAAAACAAATGAAATATACATGTTAATCATTATCATATACCAAATAGATGCATTTTAATATATATCTTTTTGCATAATATTAGCTGTGAGACTTACAGGAACCTTACTTGGATCTATGTTATTTATTTTTACTCCTACATCTTTTAAGCAACTTTTTACAGAGGTTCGTATACTAGAATGTAAGATAATAAATTTGAATGCTTCTTCCTGATGTTTTATAATTTCATTTGTTACTTTTTGTGATCCTTTAAGTACACTAATTAAATCAGAAATCCACAATCGAGACATTCCTAAAATATAATAAATGATATAAAATAGCAATATTAATATTTTATGTAAATTCATATCTCAATATTATTTTTGTTATTAAATAAAGCTGTGTCAGTATTATTTGTTTTAAAAGAAAGTTATAAGTATTAAGTTCATTTAAATCGTGAGAAAACATTCTATGAATTAAACAAAATTGCCAAAATTACATATTTACACGTGTTTCTTTTAATATGCCCCTTGTATTAAATTCAAATAAATTTCCAAACAACAAATGTTATTTCGTTAAATTCTTAAAAAGAAGCAGTTAAGTCATTAAATAAATTTATACTGTCTTACAGAATGGGTATCAAGGTTGAATAATGATTGAGTCATATTTAAATTTAAAATTGTCGTACATTTGAGGTTAGTTATAGTTATATATGGAATATTCAATGTCACTTTTAAATACTTTCATGAAAAATGTATTATTATTAATTTATTACCTATATATTATATTAAACACTATTTATTATAAAATATTGTTATTATTATATAAATATATAGTTTAATTATATTCCGAATACGCATGCTCAATAATACTTTATATAAGAAATTTGAGTAAATAATTCGTAATTGAATATATGTGTATATTTGAATATAAGTATATATTCAAAATAATTAAAAGAGAATTTCATTTAAATAAATATTTATATTTGAATTATTTTGTTTGTTTTAAGATTAAAAATTTTCAGAAGAAACTTCAAATTTTCATTGTAGAATTTTACATTATAATCAAATCATTTGTACGCAAGCGTAATATATGCGTACAAAATTTTTTAATGTTATATTTTCTGTTTTGCTTTTCAGTTATAAAAATAAAATAAAATAAAAAATTTTAAATAATTCTTTGACGTATTACTATTAAATTAATACTAATAACGATAATGTACAAATATAAAATATATATATGTAACTTTAAAATGTATATTCAATAATGATATATATTGCAGTTTGCAGTAAATATTTATTGTATTTGCGCATTTCAACAATCTTTTTAAAAAATTAAAAAGGCATCCAATTTCATTGTGTGTCTTTTATCTTATATTTAATATGTTACAAGCTCTACAATAGATTTATATGTATATATATATATATATATAGGTAAGTCTGTATATACATAATATATACATATGTATATTTAAGTACACATGTTCATATATATATATATATGTATATACAGGTTTGTATAACGTAATATTTATATACACTATATATTTTTCTCTCGTTGTATATTTATATTACTACAAACATAAAAAAAGTATTTTACAATAAATTCCTAATAACTTTGGGATAAGCCTATAACTTCCTTAAAGAGAAGACAGCTATAACCAATTTTTGTAGAATCTTCTTTGAATGTAACTATATTAATCTGTGTAGCAACCTTGAGGGAATCTCATTGAATTATAAATGTTAAACCCGTCCCTATGAATAAACTTTATGTAAGATGGTTAATTTCAGAAACATTTTAACTAAAATATTAAATAAAGTCATGTACATTAATCATTGACTTGATGAATAGCTTTTATATAAGAAATTAATTAAAATAATAATTCAAGATTTAATCATAATTTTAGTTAAAATTCACACTGAAATATTTCTCAAACTTATATGATTATGAGATCACCTCTTCAGGTTTTGTAATGACACTTCAAGAATTTTAAAATGAAGGAACAACAGGTAGAACAAATTATGAAGCATAACAATATAATAGTAAATTAAATGACGTTTGGTTGATCTGGAATAAGAGAGGCAAAAAACGAACTGAAAAATGTCCATGTGAAAGCAAGAGCACCAGGTCTTTCTTCTTCATTTTCCTCATTAGCATTTGTTCTAGCCTCTGGTTGTACCGTTGGAACTTGACCATTTTGTTGTGCAGGGGCGACTTGTGGAGCTGCTCCTTCATTTTGTAATACTTGATTGTTATTGTCTGGACGTACGTTATTATTTTCAGGCATATATATAATATGTAATCTGAAAAATCCACTCTGGTACCTACAACAAAATATCCATTATTAGAAAATAAAAAGTTATAATTCGTTACAGATAATATGTAAAGAACTTACAAATATATTACAAAGCCCAAGAATGTAACAATAAGAAATCTGAGTGGAGATGAGTAAAAGTACACTATACTAAAGAGAATAATGATTCTGGATAGCATATAAAAAAAGTCTAGCCAATCTGGATTAAATACACCATCCTCTCCAGCTGCATTATTATTGCCTGCATTAATATCGGCTGCATCTTGCACTGCCGCTTGAGGTTGATTATCTCTAACGTTATTATTATTGTTGTTATTGTTATTCATATATGTATTTTGTGTAACTTCATTTGGATTAATATTCATTTGCTGAACATAAGGAATAGTACTTTGTAACTGGATTCCTTGTGCTGCCATTCTGTAAACAAAAACAATTAGAATTATACATATATAGTAATGTAGCATAATAAAATATAAAATGTAATATTACTTACAATTGCATGTACTGTGTGAAATAGTGTGTATAAGCTTGTTGCATCCAAGCTACTTGTTGACTATTTCGAGGATCAAAATATTGTTGCATAGAATACAATTGTGTTTGAGAAGGTTGAGTTATAATGTTATTTGTGCTTTGATTTTGACTTTGAATATTATTAGTTCTGATATAGTCAACATTATTTCTTATGGCTGAATTTACATTCACATTTTCATTAACTTGTGTTCGATCAAATACTTTATTGGCACAATTTTTTTGAGAAGTACATACTAAATGTATAGTATATGCTTGGTCCTCCAGGTCATCACAATGTCTTAAAATATCTTTCAAATAAGAAGAATTGTTCAATAATTGACCAGCATAAATTAATTTCTGATCCGCGCTTTCCTATGAGAAATGCAACATCAATTTATTATATGTATATATATAATATATGTACATATATTATATATATATGTATATATTTTATATAAATAAATTTTATATATGAGATAAATATTATATTAATATAAATTAATAAATAAATATCCTTAGAGAAAATTATTAACATTCAATAATGAAATTAATCGATTAATTGACTTTCACTAAGATTTAAAAGATCTGTAACTTTCACAAGGTTTCACGATATCAAGCAAAAAATAAAAATAATAAAAACTTACTGGTTTGCTGGGATAAACTTCGGAAAGATATTCTTTTAGACGACCGATGCTCCACCCGATATCACATTTTATAAGTTGATCTTTGATTTGTTGATTGGGCGCTTTTATTATTAATTTAACAGTATCACTTTCCATCATTATACAATGTTGGATTTCTTTAGTCACAATATCTGACCTAAGTTACCTATCTGCACTTCGAGATATGAAAACAATGATATCAAGAAGCGATGTTGCCGAGGCTATATTCGTCTTTGGATCCTTTAGAATTTAATTAAAATTGTAACACCTAATCGATTTTTTAACTTCCATAAAGAATTTTGTAAAATTCTTTAGCTTTTACTTTACATAAAATTTTACATTAAACGAGAATCAATTAATAACGCATTTACTCTGAGATAACGTATTTATGTGGACGTTAATAAATGGAATCACGATTTGGCGGTGTATCATTGGTCAAAGATTACGTATTTTATTTATATATTAATAAAATCCCATTTTCAAGTGATCATTTTTAATTTTAAATTTGAATTAATATAATATGTCAAGTTTAGAATTTTTCAAATACTTTCTTCATCTATATAAAAGAAAATTTTTTAATTTTATAATAAATGAATTATAAATAAATAAAATTCATTAAATTTTACAAGATATAACATTTCTAAACGTATCAGATTATAGCCTTATTTAGTGAATTATATTGATTCAATAGCTGATCTTTGATTGGATGATTCACAATTGTTCTTTCTTCCTATTGGTTATAGCAACAAGATATCGCAATGGATTCTTCAAGAATACGAGAAAATTGCGAATATGGAAACACTACATAATATTAAACTAAAGAGCGCGGGAGTAAAGTTTGTCAACGGTTTTGACATTCCTGTTTAATATTGTTGATTTTAAATTGTTTTTAAGTCAGATGTAATGAAATGTAGGTATATATATATATATATTATATACATGTATTGCCTTGTGTAGGTATTTTCAGTGTCTTATAGAAATTGTACATTTCAAAATATTCGTAATATTTGTTTTCTCGTAAAATAATGAAATATTTACATTGTGTATTTAAATGATATGTAAGGTTTGTGGCTCAGAAACATGTCATTTCGTAGTAGATTTGTTCGATTCTTTTTATACTTACCTTACCATATAAACATAAATTTAATTTTCTTGTTTTCTATATCAGGGTACGTCCCAAGTCTAGAAAAAGTGGATCTGGACAATCCTCAGTAAGTGAAAGCATTGTTAATTGAAAAACGTTACTGTATTTACTTCGTTTTTATAGTACCAATTGTATAATTTCTTGGAATTTACAGATTCTTAAAGCAGCACTTCGACAACCATTGCAACATGTAAGTTCTAATGTTTCCTTAAATCAAGAAAGTCCAGTTACATCAAAACTAAAACGACGGGTTAGTTTTGCAGAGAAGAATCATGTAAAGTAAGTTATATTTTTTATGTTTAAATAAAAATGCAATTTTTTTTTTTATTATTATTATCTATTAATGTTTTCAATATAATATGTCTAAATACACAGTAATGTATAATTCTTTAAATAGAGAGTTTGCTGATTCAGTAGAACAAGGAACCTTGTGGAACAATTCGTATGAAGAATCATCAAATCAAAATACAGGACAAATTGATTTAAATAATCAGAATCATGAAACTCGTACTAATAACAATCATTCTACAAATAGTGATATGATAGTAAGTGAAAATGGAAATCTAATGAATGATTCTTTAGAGTTAACAGAGTGTCTAGTTACAATGGGTTCTTTAAAATCAATATACACCGAAGAAACTCCATTAAACAAATCAATATCTTTAGCACATCAAAGTAAAAGGAACAATGAAGGGAATAATATTTTAATTGAATCAAATCACAATATAAATATCTGTGGTCATAAGAGTATAAATGTTCACAATAACATATCAAGTTTAAATAACATGGAAGGTTCGGACTTGAACAAAACTTGTATTCAAGATATATCTATGGAGGTCACAGAAATACCTTCTTTTATGAAGTCCCAAAATATTTTACCTGTTAAGTGTAAACAAGTATTAGAAGAGAAAGAAAACATACCGATATCTAATATTATCATAAAATCTAATGTTTCATCAAATTCAACAAATGAAATGAAGACAATATCAAATAAAACACAATATTTTTGTACTGAAACATTAGAGTTTACAGAATGCTTGCAATCTATAAAAGAACCACTTGATTTGCAACAACAATTTTCAAGGGCAAGTGCCCTTATGAATGATGAGAATATGATTAATCACCAAACTCAGATATTTCAAAATGCACCAATGGAAATGACATGTGCTATTCCATTGACCCGTAGGAGAAACTCTACAGATCAAACAGTCATTTTTCACGATGCTTCAATGGATGACACAATGATGATTACTTCAGTTATGAATAAAAAACAAAAATTGATGAATAAAAGTATACCTCAAATAGAAGATGATAATAGATTTTTTAAAAGTATGATTAATTCTGTTAACAAGACTAAGTTATTAGATGTATCAATGGATATTACAGAAGGAATTTATTCATTGCCTCATTCAACAAAAGTTAATGATGTTACAGATACTGTGAATATTTTAAATTATCAAAGCTCTGCCATAAATGGTGAGACAGAGTTAAACGATGATTCAATGGAATTTACTGTAGCTGCAACAAATTTACCTCAAGTAGTACATAATATAGATAGAGAAAAATTACCCCAAGTTACAAAAATGAATGCATGTACAATGTCAAACCAAATTAGATTATCATCAGAAAATACAAAAATATTTCAAAACGAATCAATGGCAATTACTGAACCTTTGCACGTACTATCATCTTTAAATATTTTACAGAATGATTCTCAAGAATTAAAAGATGTGATAATGAATTTTCCTAGGAATAATCAAATGTCACCTAACACAAAGATATTTCAAAATATGTCAATGGAAATTACTAATGCAATAGCTAATTTACCAATATTACCTAATTTAGAAAAATCTTCTGAAAATATAGAAAATAATTTAAATACAAACGAGAAGCAGATTGATGTAATTGAACATGGGTCATTTCAAGAGAATTCTATGGACTTTACTACACCTGTATATTCTAATCCAAGTTCTTTCACAATTACTTCAAATAAAATTGTTGATACTACAATAAAAAATAATACATTCAAATATACAAATGAAAATAATGATATAATAGAAAATAATAGCACAAAACATGTAAATGAAAATAGAGATCACAGTTTACTACAAAATAAAAGTAATAATCCAGTAAATGAAATTTCAAATAAAAATGAAAAATTAGAAAAACACGATTGTATATTAGATTCTATGTACGAGAAAACAAGAAAGAATCATTCAATGAGTGAAACTGTACAAGAAACTAATGTTCAATTTAACAATAGCAATAGCAATATTAATAAATCTGCAGATCAAGCAGTAGATGATACATACATTTCTTCCACCACATATTGTAATGATGATTTTGAAAATACAGAAAATATTAGCACCGATAATCAACCGGTAAAAGCTTTAACTTCATTAATATCATCTTTTGTGTATGCAGACATGATAGAAGATGATTCATTTGTCAAGACAATACATGAAGTTCAGCAAGAAATACAATCTAGAGAAAATGATATGGATATGAATTCAGTAGTTGATATTGTTAATGCACAAGCAATTAATACGCAATCTTTTGAAAAATGTATCATTGAAAATAAACAGATTGTGCAACAATCTGAAAATTATTTCAAATGTTATCACGAAGATAATAATATCCAAGTAGATGATATCATGATTAATAAAGAAGTGAATAATCAACACAATTCAGACATAGTTTCAAATAAAATTAATGAAATTCATGAAAATATTTTTGAAAATAGTATTAACAATGAAAGACTAATTGATACTTCTACTGAAGTAGAAGTTATTGGATCAGATAAACAATTACATAAAGCAAAGAAAAATGTTGAGAACAATTCAGCAACGTATATAATAAAATCTAAGAAAAATTCAGACATAGATATAAATGAACACATTAATGATCATAGTAGTAATAATCAGGTCCTTTGTACATCACATGTATTGTCACCAACATTAATTTTTGCTTATAACCAAAATAAAACATATATTGACGAAAATAATATTATCCCAACAGCTGATGTGGCAGGTAAAATAAACTCTAATAGTTTTAATAACATATATATATATATATATATATATATATATATATATATATATATATATATATATATATATATATATATATATATATATATATATATATATATATATATATATATATATATATATATATATATATATATATATATATATATATATATATATATATATATATATATATATATATATATATATATATATATATATATATATATATATATATATATATATATATATATATATATATATATATATATATATATATATATATATATATATATATATATATATATATATATAATTAAACAAATGCTGACTAATAAATTTTTTTCATAATCAAGATTTAACATGCAGCATGAATGTAACAGAAAATTATGATAATAACTCTTCAAGAGAAGAAGTTAATCATGTTATGTTGGAAGAAAATATTGGGAAAAACAATAATTTTCAAGAAGATAAATTTTCTTTGATAGTAAAAAAATTAAAGATCCATATGCATAGGTAATTATTATAGATTAATATCTAAATAGGAGATAGAAAAAATGTCAAAATATGATATTTATGTTCTTTTGTTTATTTTAGTAACGATTGTATATGGGATTTATATTTTGAGAATATAGATAAACAAATGATAGTAGTTGGTTTTATCTCTACATCTCTATTGATAATAATATATACCCAAAACGATATTGATACCAACACATGTATGATCAAAGATATTAATGTAATTTCACGTCTAGAAGGTAAGTAAACAAAATTATTGTAAAAGTAATAGATCTCATATATATTTTTAAATATATTATATTAATCTTTGACAGATGATGAAAATATCCTGTTAAGTATAGCGCACAAATTAATAAGAGAGAAAATAAATATAGAACATATTTCTCAATTGTATAAATATGAGGAGGATATTATTCCTTTATTAAATCATATTTCAGAAGATGTGAAGTTAATATTAGATTTTATATTTGATCTAAAACAATTAGAAGATTCGAATTTAATGGAAATAGATACCGAATGGTAATAATTTTATTTATAATAATTATATAATTATTACATTAATAATTTAAAAATAATTATTCATTTTTATTTTAGCATAACGTTTATATCAAGAAGTAAATGTATGGACATTATATTGAAAATTACAATGAAAGTTAAGTTATTTGATAAGATAAATTCATCTAACATCAAGGTCGTTTGTATTTTGGGTACAGTAATGTGAGTTTATAGAAAAGTATAATGTTTTAATAATTTATGATAAATTAATTTACATCAATTTATATATTTTTCTTTACTATTACAGAGAAAAAGATATTAGAGAGTTATTTACAAATGTGAAAAAAGACCATAAATTTTTAAGGAGATACATGTCTGACATTAAAGATTATATTGACATAATGGAACAAGTTAATGATGCAAATAAAAAATGTCGTTATTGAATTGAAAAAGAAAAAATTAATCTCTTATAAGGGATATAAACGATTAAATTTGTAATATATTTGTATGTGAATTTGTAGACGCATTCAAGCGTGTGTACAAACAAAGGATAAATGCACAGTTACATATTTATTTATGTGTGTAACTGCATGTGCAAATTATTGTATTGATATTATGTATAACGTGATATAAAATTTATATTGTAAATGAATCGCATTATAATTATACCGTAATTATATTAATTGATGTCATTAATGGAAAATTTTTAATATTTTATGTGTAATAAGAAATTATATATATGTATCATCAGGTAAAAACATAAATAATATTCTTTCTATCTATTCTGTAGTGCAAATAGATTTGATAACAACTGTACATGAATTTATAGTAGATATATACATACAAGCAGGTTGATCGACTAGCTTCGATACAGCCGGTTCGGACTATGCAGGTTTTTGTTGATGCACTTGCAGTTCTTTGTACAGTAGCGTGTGAACAACTGGCTTCCCATAGAATCATTCGAGTTTCCGTTGAGTTCTTAAGAAATAATCATTATCGATAACTATGATTAGAATTATCGAGAATGTGCAATCAGAAAGTTTTATATTATTTAATTATCAATATTTCTCCTATTGTTTTAAGTATTATTAACAATCAATTTCATGATAATAAATATTAATCTAATAAGTAATGCAAAGTTTTATATATATAATTTTATATATAGTTTTATATCATAATTTTAAAATTATATCATATAAGATCCGAATAAAAATTTCATGTCTATAAATTTACAATAAACAAAAAAACAAAAAAATAACGAAGAATATCGAAAAGCAAAATATTATTCAACGAAAGGACTATGAAACATCCGAGGTACTTTCAAAGCGATAGTGAAACTGTTGGAGCATGAAAGGTAAGAATAACTGCAACAATATTGCGTTGGTTTTACTCCCACGTGTTCTGCGAACGTGTAAGTAATACCTCATAGGAAGGTTAAATGTGAATAATGAAAGTTACATTTTTTTTTTTTTTTAAATAAGTAAAAAATTTCATTCATAAAATTATGTGTATTGAATAAATATTATTGTAAGTATAGAATATACGTATTTAATAATTCGTCTACGCAGCGTAATATAAAATGTAATCAACGTAAATGTAAAAATGATAATTTACATAAGTTTTTATGCTTTATTAATAATGTAAAATCAATGCTAACATTTTTTCAATCATATTTGTTTTTTACCTATAAAATGTAATTATATATTGATAATAAAAAAAAAACATCGATAGTTAATATTAAAATTTTAGGTAGTTTTTTCTCGTCGTATAATAAACACCTTTGACTTGTTAAAGAAGTCGAACTTTCTTTCACTATAGCTATGTTAGTTCTACTCGCGTAGGCGTAGAGGCCCGGTTTTACGTGATTTCGTAACGGAACGTACCGATTTCCAATATCAAAAAGCATTTCACGAGGATCCCGAAGACCTTCAAATTGATTCCTCTCTTAGCTTATTTCGTTTATCTCTACGAATCCATGTATAAGTAAAAAAAACTCATTAAAAATAAGAAAAAAGACTTTTTATATGAATATCCAAAAAAAGGCCATTTATTTCGGAGTAAAGATTTCTAAATATGCCGCGCTTTTTTTCCGCGCAACTTCGTTTTTTTTATTTTTTTTTAATTTATTATTTTTTTCTCTTTTTTTTTTGACGGGAATAATGTTCATTCTGACAGAAATTTAAATATTTCAGAAAAATATGAATTTGAATACGGAAACGTCTTTGCATAAATCTTACAAAATCGAATGATTATAATCAAAAACAAATTTAATTATCTATAATGTTGTTCGCGACAAAATAATAATGTTTGATTCTAATAGATCGTAAAGTATATTATTTGTTCGTAGGATGATATAAGAGGATGATAATGAAACTCCTCTTTCTTTTTCTTTTTTCTTTTTTCTTTTTTTTTTTTTAGAATCTATAGAATCTGTTGAAAATATGAATGTCACGATTATTCGCAGGTCGATCAACGTTGTCAACCTGTGAGACGATACCTGTTCGTGCATCGGACAGCAAGTAGAGGCAGGGTCAGGCAAGGAAAGGGTGGGTAGGGGAAGGTAAGGTAAAGGAAGGTGGGCTGACGAGAGAGATAGGATATGCGAAGGGGGAGAGGGTGGGAGGGAAGGAAGGTAGGCGCGAGGCGTGTGAGCAGCAACGGTGATCTCAAGTGGGCGTAAGGGCCGAGAGAGAGAACGTCGTCTCGTGTTCCATACATGGCTATGCTATGTGGATACGCGGAGAGACACAGAGAGACGGACGGACGCAGGTTACCGGCAAGATACGCGGTCCCCACCGCGTGGACACGGCGGAGGCGACACGTTTTCTCTCTCTCGGAGGCTCCCAACGAACGACGGCATCGCATGGCTCGATGCACAGTGTCCCGTAGCACGACGTCCTTTCACGATCATCGTGATCGTGGTTATCGCGATCATCATCGTTATCAACATCGTCGTTGTTGTTGTCGTTGTCATTATCGTCGTCGTCGTGATCGTGGTCGTCGTTGTCAAATTTTCATTCATTTTCAAATACCTTTGATTTTGCGTCCTTTATATTCGCGTGTTGTTATCCGTTAAAACGGAAGACGATAATGTGTTCGTCGTTATGTTCTCATCGGCGTTATTGCCGCTACTATATTCCTCTCCTTTTTATTTCCTTTTTATTCTAAAATTCGCGCGCGATCTTTCAAGTGTCCTACTCGTGTTTTTACGGTAGACGAGAGGAAGAAGAAGAAAAAAAGAAGAAGAAAAAAAGAAGAAGAGGAAAACGTAGAAGAAGAAGAAGAAGACATATAAAAAGAAGATCATCGTCTTGGAAGAATATACTACTACCATTATTCTCAGGTGTGTTCTCGCTTCTTTTATATCTTTCTCTCTGTCTTTTATCTACGCACTATGTATGTACGTATATTCGCGCGGTATTCTATCGCGCCTGCGCGAAAAACTTACCACCTTTGTTGCGCGGGAAACGGTGTGCGTGTTACGACAGAAAAGAGAAACTACAGGGGCACGGTAGATAAAGGACGAAGCGTAGCTTTACGCACACCATTGCAGATCTCCAGTGAGTAAAGGACAGTCAAATCGCAAACAGGACATTTTTCCGCTAGTTTTCTTCGTATTCCCATCTACCCGTTTTACTTCTTGCGACTAAGACAACACGATGATTCGATTTGTCTACGAAAGATCGAAACATTTCGATCGAAGAACGTAGAACGAACGAAAATATTCAACATACTTCATTTCTATTTATATTCATTTGAAATTTACTTATCATTCATCATCGATCATTTTAACCTATTGCTAAATTAAATGTAGTCGAGAGACGGGAATCAAGTTTCCTTAGAGAGATAATTCAATACGACCATTTTTTATGTCGGTTATAATTCATTGTACATACATGTGTGATAAATTCAATATTCTTGTGGTTTTTTCTCTTCTTTTTTTTTTGCTTTTCTTTTTTCTATCTTTTTTTTTGTCTTTCATGCGACGGGGACCGTCAATATCATTTCTTGATTTTCTACATAAGTGAAATTTCTTGAGAGATTTGAGATATAATATTTCAAATGAACAGATAAAGAAATAATGAAGCCGATAAACACGTAACGACAACTTTCATGGTAACCAACCTGCATCGATTCTTGATTGTTTTTTCAATGAATGCTCTCAGCATTTTCAACATCTCCAAAGACGAAAACCAGTTTCGCGTCCGGACTTCTTTAGAGCGTTGGAGAACGCCAATATGTAAGAGAAAGAAGGAACCACTCGATCTTCGATTTTTCGAATTTTCTTTCAATTTAATATACTCTTTCGATATTAGCTATCATCGTCTCTTTTTCTTCATTGCTTTTAAAGCATCAATTTTATCCTGTTCTTCTTTCTCTCTGGCTAACATTATCTCTCTCTTTTTACCAAGAGGAGTATTCTTTTCGAAATTTTGATATTTTTCAAGGATATTTTTAGAGAGCGGCTCGTATTTCCACACTTCTTCCATAATTTCCGTTTGCGATAAAGGTTTGCGATTCAACATGATTCTTCTTTTCAGCGATAATACGTTCTCGATAGATTTTCTTATAAATTCCAAAGGTATACCGACGGACATTTTAGCCAGACAAGAAACATCTATGTTTCTATCTACTCCATGATATTTCATTAATAAATATTTGTAATACATGTATAGTGTATTGTAATCGGTTAGAGGTATCATTATAAATACATTGTGAACCTTCATAAATCCACCCCTCGCTTTGTAAGGTTCGGAAGAAACAGTCAGAAACAAAATCTAAAAAATACAAATATTTAAATAAAATATTTCGAATAACCAAGCTTGTCTTGTAAAATTAAACGAAAAAGACATTTATCTCTTGTATATACACCTTTCTATAAGACAAGACGCGAATGTTGAGAAAAGAAGAAAAATAGGAGAAAAAAAAAAAGAAAAAAAAAAGTCACGTCTTACGAGTGCTACGCCAGTAGGTAACAGTAACTGTCCGGAATTTCTGACACTCTAAATCCTACGTTAACTCGCTACCACCTACGTTCTGGTTGTTCCATATACCGGTAGGAGGTGTTTCATTGATGACCAGCATCGGACCATCGAGGCGTTTGAAATAATAAAAGGAAAAAGTGTGTGTGTGTGAGAGAGAGAAAGAAAGAGAGAAAGAGAGAAAAAAAAGAGTCTTGCTTGACTGGACCCGTGATACTCGTTTGACTGGAGTTCATTCATATTGAAGAAAGAGTAAAAATAAGAGCTTTTCTTTTTTTTTTCTTTCTATAAGTGGGCGAATTACCAATCATATCGAGTTTGATATTTATTTTTTGGTCGGATTTGAGAAAGTAGAAGGAATGGTTATTTTACATAAAATATCCATTCACGAACTACGAAATAGAAAATAAATCCATTAATGGCAAACATCGACAAGATTATATGTGATTAAATCTTTTTGCGATGACGATCGATTATAAGGATTTTTAAATGATTTTTGAAAAGACTTAATAGAAAAAATCTATTATTACCTGATCACCTGGTTTGATACTTTTGATAAACTTTGCATGATGTTTAGCAAATCGTTTTGGTTTAATATATCGTTCGTTTAATGGGACTTTCTTTAACCATGGTTTCTCGCCACCATCGATAAATATTACGGAAGGTGGATAAATGCGACTTAATTTGCCAATGATATCCATTAATCTTCGTTCGTTTTTCTTACCAATATATTTATCAATCAATACCAACGGTGTCATATCGTATAAGGTTGCACCAACCTATTGGACAGAGTCAAGATTTAATTACTAATTAGAGTATTACTTTTTATATGTGTTTCTAGATTTATTTAAAAAAAAAAAAAATAAATATTTGACCTCCGAACAGATTGCATCGACTAGAAATGTTTTACCATATCCAGGTAAACCACAGATACAAACGGATTGTGTTAAGGGTGCTACTGTATGTATTTCTTTAGAAGAGAGGGGTAATACGCAATACTCCATGATAATTTGTTTCATGTCTCCTAACCGATTTTGAAATTCGGAATGTGCACCGTAATTTTGATAACGAAAGTCACCGAACCAATCGTCCAAACTTCTTTCTGAATAATTTCGTATGATATTTTGTTGTACTAATTCATTAAAAAGTTCGGTTATAGGAATATTAGCTAAACGATCCCTTTTTGATCTGGGTTTTTTTCGATCCTTTTTTCGTAGTCTTTCTGATTATAATTAATAATAATGATAATAATAATAATAATAATTTTTTCTTTTTTTGTTAAATCGATCATATCATTTTTATTAACGAATTATTTTTTCATGATAATACATACGTGCACGTGGCATCTCAGGAATATCTACTTTACCGGAGGCATAATCTTTTAACAAAGCTTCGTTCAATTTCTCCAATTCAAGTCTCATAAGTTCGTCAACAATCAGTCGCATTTCAAATTGAAGTTCGTAACAAAGTTTATCGGTTATTAAATCGAGATAAGGTTTTAGTAACGGATTAGAAGATTCATCTCGATAACTCCAATTTTCGATAAATTCATTATTAGCCATTTCCAAACAGGTAAATAATGGAGTTTCCGGCATAAACCATCCTTCTATAGTTTTCTCCTTTTTTGGCTTTGGTTTCGTTGGTTTCTTTGCCTCTTTCTTTTTTTTTTTTGCCTCTATCAGCTTTTGCATCTGTTGCATAAGATATTCCTCTGGATCCATAGTCTGTCCGGTAACTATCAGAATGCTACCACCTAACTCTGCTGGTGGATAAACGTCAAAATATCCAACCGTATCGTACCAGACGATGAACCATTCATGAATTTCATCAGTGATATCTTCTATCATTCCAGGCCCCACTATTTTCAATAACTTTGGAAATATATGTTATTAAAAAATTTCTCTGGTTACTAATTGAAAAATAATCATAATCATAATCTTATCATCAAAAATCTCACCCTGATAGATTCATCTTGGATAATTTTTTCAGTTTTTACGGCATAAATCGGTATAATATCTAATCTCCTTTGAAAAATTTCTTCGTCTCTTTTAGAAATATCTTGAGGTTTCCAACTTGGTATCGTCATATCTAATAATTCTTCTAAATGATTGATTCTTCTTTTAATATCTCTTCGGGCTGCAAATCTTCTCCAAGCACGTTGTATGATGACGATAGCTTTACTATATGTTTCTTTATCGACTTTTATTAATGGAGCTGTCTCATCGGTTTTAACTTTTTTCTTATATTCATACATTAGTAGAGCTATGATAAATTAAAAATATAAATTAAAAAAAAAAGCAAAATAAAAAATATCGTATTAAGAAATTATATACATTTATCACGTCGAAAAATTTCCACGCAATTTGGTTATATATAGATTTCGTAATCTGTTGCCGCGTAAATCTCTGTACGAAAATCCGGGTTTTATGAATAGCATCTTAATTTCCTGTAGGAATGCAAAATTATTAAAATTTCAGTACTGTCTTGTAAAATAATGTTTAAATTAAGGGCTATCGGATCAAATTTTTTAATTTATGAAAAATAAGAAAATTAGGCCATTTTGGAAGAAATGTTAATTTATCATTAAAGGTATTGGAAAAATATTAAAAATTAACATTTTTTTTAAGATAAGTCGATTGTCCTTAGCTACAATATTATTTTACAAGACAATAATGGAATTTTAATAATTTTGCATTTCTACACAAGAAATTAGGATGCTACTTGGATTTTCGTGCAAAAGTTGACACAAAAACCTGTATGTGACCAAATTGGATGAAAAAAATTTGTCTGCATAAATAACATATCAATGTTGGAATTATTAATTTTTCAATTAATTTTACTTCCTTCCTGGAAAAAAAATTTCTAAAACACGTAAATTTTTCGGCACCGGACATGTATATAATACTTTAAGTATTTTAAGAAAATAACGAATTATAAAAAGAGATTTTTTTTCTTTAAATTACCTTCTTTACCAATACGACGTCCAACTCTAGCTCTTTCATGACATTGTATCAAAAGCACTGCATCATGTAAAGCCTTTTCAGCAACTTCTCGAGCTTCTCGAGCTTCCTTAGCTAGCCTTTGCTCAGACGTTTCTACTAAAATTTTCGGTGAGGTATCGGCAGGTCTGAATCTTTTTTTACGTGTTAATTGCATTTTTGACGAGATATCTTCGGTTTCCGTCATCACTTGCGAAAGCCTCTGCTCTTGTATTACAAGAGCTGCAACATACGGTACAATATATGATACATCTGACAAAAAAGAATATCGTTCGAACTTTGAGACAAATTATTGGAATAGACTTATAAGTAAAGTGTTATGAATTTTCAATATTTTATATCTAAATAAATAATATAATATATATATAATATATTGCTTATATATAATTGTGTAATAATGAGTTGCATTGATAAGTAATGTCAGAATCTCGAATAAAAAATAATATCAAAAATTGACCATCCGAATATTTTTCATATTTTTTAGTATATTATTTTTTATATTATATTGTTTTTATATATAATTTTTTAAATATTGATTTGGCCAATATAAGTGGTATAAAAATTTTTAATAAATAAAAAATATTGGAAATCAGTCAATCCAATATTTTTCATCATATTTTTTTTATCATATTACTTTTCATAATATAATATATTATTTTTATATATAATTGTAATGTCAGAGTTTCAAATACAAAATATTAAAAAATCGGTCAATCGAATATTTTTTCTTTTTTCTTTTTTTATTATATTATTCTTCGTAATACAATATATTGTTTTTATATATAACTGTATAGTATTGGATGGGACAATATAAATGATGTTAGAATTTTTTGTAGAAAAATAAAAAAAATATTGAAAATTGACCAATTTCAATTTTTCATTTTGAAACGTACGTTTTTTGCCCTCATATTTTTTCATCTCCTCGATTAACTCTCTACGTTCTAATGCATGATTTTTATCGACTATCAAGATAGGGGTATTTACGTCATCTGGCGTTAATTTTAATTGACATAATACATCATCCGGCCACCTTGAGAATTCGTATACGATTTATGATAATGAAAATTAAACTAACAATAAAAATTATCTTAGGGTAAAATATATTTTATATACTGAAAATAAGAGCAATCTAATTTAACAACTTCTCTTTTACACTGGAGCATTCGACCAATCGCACAATCAACTATTTTTTTAATTAATTCACGTTTTTGCGTTTGGATCATTTGATTATAACATATCACGAGTCTTCTTACCAAATCTCGATATCTATATATGTATATATAATAGATAGAGAAACGTAAGATTAAAAGAAATTTTTTCGAACAAATTTTCTCACAAAATAAATTCTAATGATTAATATACCTTATATAAAGAGTTAGAGCATGATTTAAAGCATTTTTTCTTTGCTTTATAGGTTTGCATTTTTGTAAATCTCTATCCAATTCCAATAATTTTTCCAAATCGCATCTTGTGACGAGCCATAATTCATTGTAATAATGATGTGACATCGATTTTTAATTGATTTAACAAAACAAATGGAAAGTAACTACTTGAAAAATTTTGTTAATTAATTTTTATAGAGTTTGATTACCGAAAAGGTTATTTTGACGAAAACGTAATGAAATAGTTGAAAATAATGAAGTTATAAGGAGATCGATTGTTATATCGATATCACTTCAATAATTCATCTGTTGAAAGTTTCTTTTTAATATCAATAATAATTATACTTTTCAGGATGCCGAGGACATTTCGAAGTTTAATAATTTTGGCCATAATCATGACAGCGTCGTGTTTTGACGGCAAGAACAATGAATCAACAATTAGGTCGTCTACAATGATATCTACGACGACGTCCACTGTAACCACAAGTACAGATAAAACAATAATAAATTCAACGACAATATCTATGGTAGATTCTACATTGATAACGATAAATTCGAGAGAGAGCATCGAGACCGTAACAACTTTGTCAAGTATTTCGAGTGAAAAAGATTCAAAAGAAGTTTCAACAATGTCGTTTATGTCCGACTCTGTTTGGGAATGTCCTAATATTACGAAAACAAGCGTTGAATGTTCTTGTGATTTTCCACATACTCTTAGATGTACTGGTGAAAGAACAGCTTTACAAGTAATACTAATTTTTATTATAATTATTGTTATAATTCTTCTTCTTCTTCTTCTTCTTCTTCTTCTTCTTCTTCTTCTTCTTCTTATTATTATTATTATTATTATTATTATTATTATTATTATTATTATTATTGTAAAATCTACTTGTTAAGAAAAATTTAATTTCTTCTTTTGTTTGCTTTAATTTAGGTGATTAGTGAACATTTAAAAAGTAGTAAAGCAGGAACCATTTCTCTTTTGGACGTAACTGTCACAGGAATTTCTATATTGCCAGCACGTTTCCTCGAAAATGTTGGCCTACATGGACTTGTCATTTCTAGCGGAGAACTGAGACGTGTTCATGAAAATGCGTTTACTGCTCTAGCTAAACCCCTTCAGGCTCTTGGACTTCCTAATAATCTTTTAGAAACCATTCCAACATCGGCATTAAAGTATCTTGTTGGATTAGATCGATTAGATCTTTCTCATAATAAATTGAAAACATTAGAGGCAGATTCGTTCAACGTAAGTTTATTAATAAATGTTCGCAAGTATTATTTTATTTATATCGCTCGTTTTAGGGTTTATCGAACTTAACGTATCTGGATTTATGCGATAATTTACTCTCGCAATTATCACCGCAAGCTTTCGCGGCACTTCCAGAACTTCGATTTTTACGAATGCGAGGTAATCGTCTCAGCATTTCGGCTCTTTCTGCGTTAAGGGGTCTCAAGAATTTGGAAGAACTCGATCTTTCGAGTAATTTATTGTTGGGACCAATGGGACCAAATCTTCTACCATGGATGCCAAGTTTGCATTTTCTTACTGTATCCGAGAATGAATTTATCAATGTGCAGCAAGGAGCATTAACCGGTGTTAGAAATTTAAGTTATCTCATTCTCAGTCATAATCAGGTTTGTGACATGAAAAGATAATTATCATATATGTATCTTGTTTCTGATCAATAGACGACATATGTCTTATGTTTCAGATCGACGTTCTCGAGGATCACTCGTTCAAGCATTTATCTACATTGACCAGATTAGATTTAGCTAATAATCGTATAGTGGATGTTTCGAGTGCGTCTTTGGCACATTTAGAAAAATTGACAACTCTAGATCTAACACATAATTTTTTACGATCGTTGACGGCTGATTTAGTAGTGCCATTGAAGAGTCTCGAAGATTTACGTTTAGACGACAATGAAATTACGATGGTCTCCAGCGACGTGCCGACCACTAAGTTACAATTAAAGCGACTCTCTCTTTCCGATAATCCTTTGAACTGCGATTGTACTCTTTTAGAATTTGCCACTTGGTTAAGTAATTCGAGTTTAAGTGATGAGGACAAATCTTCCGCCGTGTGCGCCACACCACCTGCCTTGGAAAATGGTATTTTGACTCAAGTTTCGCCAGGAAGTCTTTTATGCGGAGAACCAACACCATCTATGACTAAAGTACCTCTTGCCACTTTAAAGGAGTATCATTACGATGAATTAACTGGGATTAATCTCTTATGGAACATAGAACCTTGTACGGAACATTATACTTGTGATACGTTGATCGTTTACGAAACAGTAGGTGACAGTGAGGTTCAAACTGAGTCCAATCCTTTACATTGTGATTCTCGTATGATGAGAGATCCTTGTTCGTTGCCAGTAACAGCACCTTCATCGTTTAATTTACAGCTTGGTCATAAATATCGTTATTGCGTGGTACTGTTAATTCCTACGATATACGACGACGTATCCCTTGGTTTAGGTTGTAGCGACGTTATAACGTTGGAAGAGACCAAACAAGAAGAACAGCAGGACCAGGAACCTTCAAATACAAATTCTTTAGATGTCCGAATAACAGCGGTTCATGTTAATGTGTCCGATCAAGGTTCTTTACATGTAGATGTCAGTTTATCACCTTCAAAAAAATCTGATGCTTCGTCTTGCGATATCTCAATAGTTGTTTTTGATGCTGAAACGGCCATACATAAATGTAAATTGAATTGCAGTTCGGCATTTATCAGTCTCGAAGTATTAGTACCAGGTCGTTACAAAGTATGCGCCAGTCTAGACGAGCTTACTAATATCGAATCAATCACGTTTAGTATTATTGAAGACGATCGTGGTCGATCTCGATGCGTTGAGGTACAAAGTTTCAAACAGAATACAGAAGCCATTGTTTTATCTATCGTAGGAGCAACTTGTGCTCTCTTGATCGCGCTCGTTGTAATCGGTCGAAATATTGTACGAAAAGTTCGACATCCTAGAATTCAAACTCAATGCTTTTTACCTGCCCAGGAATTTGAAATTACGCATAAAGCGCATTACATTAAATTATTGGCCACGACCAAGGTGTGAATGATCGCTTCAGCACTTTTGGAACTATTTCGTTTGATAAATTCATAAGTGGATCATCCATTGTATGAACCGATCTTCTTATTTGAATTTAATATCAAACACAATTTCAGAAACGAGCTGCTAGTCATAAAGAGAAATTGGAGTTTTCCATATATCGTATGATAGATGTATGTTGTATATCATAATCATTGATCTTTGTTTTTGATTAATATGTAAACTTTATCAAGAGACATGTATACAGAGTGATAATGCGTTAAGGATTATTTAATACTGTATACCGATAATTAACACTACATGGTGTTTGTACAAATGTACATTTTGTAATTCGCACAAGCAAATGAAAATTTAGAAAAGCGTAATAAGTTTATTTGAAAGCACTGCCATTTTTTTTAACATTCAGAATAATTAATCAAATGAAATATATTAGATATAGAATTTGTTGTTGTTAAAGATTAAAAGATCTTCACGGAATCATTTTTATTGATTAAAATAATGATGGAAAAAAAATATGTTTAAATGTCAAGGCATTCAATGCAAATATATAAAGTATTTGGATGTAATATATTCATTGATTCACTGATTCATGTTTGTAAATATATTCTATAATCGTTTTCAAACGCATAAGCGTATTATACGCATTGTTGAATGATAATAATACATAGTACTTATATAATTGTATCTTTAATATTTCCTTATTATTGTTATTTCCTCATAACATATTTTATAATATATAAGGTAGAATTTAATTTAAAATTTCTCCTATTAATAATAAATAATAAGAGTAAAGTTTATATATATATATATATATATATATATATATATATATATATAAACATATAAAATATATATATATTGAAGAATATAATAAAAATGGTACAAATTGACTTTAGGTTATTACATATGATATATTGTAAAATGTTCGATATAACAATGAACAAAAACTTTATTACTGCTTGGAGATTGGCGATAGACATTTTGAATATTTCATAAAATAAAAGATATTTTTAATCAAACATTTCGAATTTTCTCGGAAACTATTTACTCAAAATTTTAAAAATAACCATTGTAAAAAAAATTAAAATACTTTTTAAATAATATATGCCATCTGATTTCAGTTATCATTTAAGATTTTCAAGGGGGTTAACTCAAAGTAAGTGAATTTATGACAAGAATGTGTCTCCTTCAAAAAAAAAATTCGCTTGTCTCGGCGTTTTTCGCAAAAATCTTTTCTAAAAACTCATTATAAATTATTCAATGAAACGAATCAAGATATGTAAATAAAAAAATATTGAGGATTTAAAAAATAATTTGGAAGCTAATTTTTTTTCTATTCTTTTCTAAGATAACTGTCAACTTGATATTTGAGTTTCGCATAACGTAATTTATATAAGGCGGCATTTCTATAGAGTGTAATATCCGTCTTGTACGAGATTTCCTGTATTACAATTATCTTCAAGTGGATCACGTGAAACAATTTATTTGTTGTTACTTTTTTCTTTGGTTCGTTTCTTTTTATATATTCATAATTAAAAATTTGTCGTTTATTTAACTTCTAACTGCAAAAGTTAACTAATATATAGTAGTTAAATGATAAATTAGATACATACAAGCAAATAACCATATATTATTGTAAAATCAAATTAGCATAAAAATTGAAACATTAGGAAGATAGTTCTATTTTTCTTGAAAAAAAATAGACATTTATATAAAAATGGATAAAACTCAAAAATTAAAATTAGTCAAGGATTCTATTAAGAATTATGATGATTTTCCTAAACCTGGTATTAATTTTTTGTAAGTTATATAAAATAAGGGTAAAGTTTTTAATGAAATCATATTTTCTTCCTTGTAAAACCATGTAATTTTTTTTATTTATTCTTTATCACATATATATTATGTTGTAGAAATTACTTATTTTCAGAGATATATTCCCTGTATTCCAAAATACATTTGCATTAAAAGCTTTGAGAGATCTGCTAGTGGAACATATTTTGTTCCTTGAAGTTGATTTGATTGTAGGTTTGGACTCCCGTGGATTTTTACTTGGTCCAATGGTATGTATAGAAATTGACAAGCCTTTCATACCAATCAGAAAAAAGGGGAAACTTCCAGGAAAGGTTTTAAGTCAGAACTATGCTTTGGAATATGGAGAGGTTAATTATATGCAATTTATTAATTTTTCTTTTGTTATTTTAATATATTTAATTTGTATATACTTTATTCCTTACGTAGTCCACATTGGAATTACAAGTGGAAAGCGTTAAAGAAGGTACTCGAGTGCTTATAATTGATGATTTATTGGCAACTGGAGGTAAGACTTAATTTTTTATTCTTTTGTCTATTAATTATTAATGTAAATAGTATTAATTTTTATTATATTGTAATATATTGTCATATAGGCTCTATTGGTGCAGCTGTAAATTTATTAAAATCTGTAAATGCAAAAATAGTAGAATGTTTAGTGGTAATAGAGTTGACTAAATTAAAGGCACGAGAAAAACTCAATGTACCTATTCACTCAATTATTCAATTTTGATAACAAAGAGTAATTACACAGATGCATAAAAATTGTATATAAAATCAAGGTACAAATTAATAAATAATAAAGAAATTTTCTATATGTAAAATGAAGTATAACAGAAATAAAATATTTTTTCAAATAAGAATATTTTTCTGTACTTCTTTTTTTTTTTAAATATGTGCACTTAAATATACATACATACATAAGAAACATATTTCCTAAAATTATATTATGCAAATTTACAATGATTTTAAAAATTGTAAATACTATTTTATAGTTTCCAAAATATAATATAAAAAATACATTTATATTAAAATATATACTCACGTACATTTTGAAATACATACACATTTTCTGCATGATTAAATTTCTTAGTAAATATTTAAGAATGTAGATTAAAAATTAAATAATATTTACTTATCTATTGCACCTCAATGAATCTAAAACATCTCGTACTTCATCTTCTAACCTAGCCACATCTCTTTGCAATTTTGCACAATTTATAAATTCTTTATCATCCAATGTTGTAGTATTTTCTGAATTCATACTACTATTTGTTTCTGATTCTAAATTTGCTATCAAATCAGAAAGTTTTCTTCCTATATATTTATATGGTACTGGTTCTCCTTTCATTCGTTCCATTATTTCATTTAATTCTAATTCCTTATCATGTAACTGTACTTGAAAACATTTTTTCACTTCTAAAAAAATTAAAACTTGGTTTCTAACAAACCATACACAATTTTTTGTAATTATTGTTAAATAATATCAAATTATTAATATTTTACCATTAAGTCTATTTTTATGAACTTCTTCCATAAAAGTTTTTACTGCGTCATGCAATCTTATTTCCTCTGTTAATACAACTTCTTGTTTGTATCTCTCTAAAATTTGTTTTTGTTTTTGAAGTTTTGGAATTTGTGAGATGTTTAATTCTTCAGTAAGAAATTTTGGATAGTCTTCTAATACAAGTGGAGGATACGGCCCTTCTTCAGGTAACTGAATCAACTTGTTTCTAAAAGAAAATATAATAGTATATATAAAGATATAAATATAAATTCATAGTTATATTACCTAAGATAACGATTAGGATGCAGTCGATATGGAATGTTTTGATCAAGGCGTTCTGCTATTTTTAATAACTCTTTAGCTCTAACATGTCCTTGTGTCTTATAGAAACGCTTTAAATCTTCAACTGTATGTAACATGAAGATAATATTACGTGAGCAAATGCTATAAGCAATAACACACATAAGAAAAAGAGTAGGTGTTTGAAGAGATAACAAATGGTCCCACAAAATAAGCCACTCATCACCAGACAATACTTCGCTCATTGTGGTCTGTAATAATGGCCATGCATATTCAATAGATGTTATACCATGTTCGCAAAAATAATTTAGCAGTTGTGGATCTGCTCTCAAAAGAATATTTTCGATAATACCCAAAATATTTAATGGTGGTAAGGGATGGTATTCAAACCATTTTTGACAATAATTTATAAGTATACTTAAAGTAAGCTCCAAAGCAAACAGTTGATCTTTCTGAAATAAGTATACAAATATATAACAGAGAATTATATACGAGATATAATAAGGATAAGATATTATAAAAATATTACCTGAAACACTACAAGAAATGGAAATATTAAATTTGGCAAAAATGAAGTCTGTGCGAGTAAAGGACACCATTGTATTAAACATTCTATTATTGTAGTTAGTAATGATGCTTTATTGCGATCAGCTAAATGGTAATTTTTAAGAAAACTTATGGTAGCTGTTCCTTGTGTTGTATTATTAATTAAAGAGATGAATGCAGTTTTATTAGCTGGAAGTTTCAATATTGTAGACCATATAAGATGACGATATTTGTCAGGAAATTTTCCAAATTCTTGTAAAATTAGTAATAGTCTATCTAGACGTAATTCTTGTTTTATATTTTGTCTGATACATTGGAGATGTTCATTTATTTTGTGAGCTAGAGGTCTGCATTTTTTTTCTAACTTTTCTGTGCGTATGGGTTCTTGAGGAAATAATTTTTCACAAAATGTCAATTTCAAGAGTCCTTGTTTTTCAATAATTATTATATATCTACCATCTGAAGAAACGACAATTTTTTTAATGTTATTGATTACATGTGTCTTATCAATAAAACAAGACAAATTTAAATCAAGAATGTGCAGCGTGCAATTTGATGAAATAACTGCTACAATTTTATTTGCACCACTATCTAATGGCAGAGGTACAATTGACATTTTTTTTATACCAATGAATTTCTCCGGTAAACTCAAACTTTTTATCATACTCCAGTTATATGTATTTAAAATAATAATTTTATTTTGAGTACTAGCTATTATCATAGCTCTTCCATTTTGTATAAAAACAAAGTCTTTTACATTACGTATACCAAATTTCTTTATGTCTAATTTTGTATCAGTATCTAACTGATTAAACATCCAAGTTTGTATGCTATCATTGTGATATAATACAACAATGTGACCTAAGCTTGATAAACTTGCTTTCTTTACAGATACATTTGTAGTATTAATGTGTAATTGGTGTACTCTACTAAAAGATTTTAAATGCCATATTATAACTTCTTTATAAGAACACGTTAAGCAGTGATCCTTATAAAAAGAGATATTTGTTGCTGGTAATTTATGCCCTGATATTAAACAAAATTCGTTGATATTTGCAGGTATCTTCATAAGTTTTATATCAGCTGTGGTAAGACCTATTATTATCTCGCTATTGTCTATAGGATTGAATGCTACAAAACAAGCTTGTCCTACCATAACAAGTTTTTGATAACATGGTTGTACGTTCGTTAAGTCAACATAATAAGCTATACCTTTGGAGTCTATTGCTATCACTTGTTCATTATTGCAGTCAAATGCTGCTTGAACAAAATTCATTCGTACAAGACATTGTTTTTCATTGGTAGCCGATTCTGATTCCAATTCATACCAATCATTATTTTTTTTCAATTTAACCCACTTCCTGCAATGCATGATAGCTTTATACAATGATAAAGCTAAACAACTATAGTGTCCGTAATTTTGAAATGTAATTTATTGGTTATTTTCATCATTTTTATACATATTCATTGATACTTCATCGATTTCATTTACTACATATAAGTACTGATAGTAATAATTAATATCTGAAAAAACTTTATATTGAGATTGTCAATTTTGTTGATAAACATTCGACACGTCACATTGACATTGGAACATATGTTACTTTGCTTTCGTAAAATATCTACAGGATGCGCAACACGTATGCGTATATGCAGTTGAGTACACAACGGAAATGAAGATTTTTTATTGGTTCTTCTTTATCTACAGATAAGTTGTAACGTCAATACACGTTAAGAAAATTGATGAAGTACACAGTGGAACCCAGTTGTGACTGTTTCTTTTTCGTCTCGAAGAATATTAAATTCTTTTATCAACTATGTAAATAATATTTTGATGGATAAAAAACGGCCTCTACGAAATTTTTAACGTTTTATGTTTAATATGTCGACCTACGAGCTAGTCAATACATATTCCGTGTTTAGTTAAAGACGACAGTTTAATAATTCCTTTTACATGAATTAGATTATTTTCAACATTTTTTCTCTGGCTGTGCAAGGATTTTAATCTACTAATATCAGGATTTTTAACTTTTTCACAATGGTAAGAAAAAATGTATTTATTTTTACAAACTATGTACAGTTTTGTACTTTTATCATTTGAGGTTATGATGGTTAAATTTATTGGATAAAGATGTTTTTTAATTTAATATTTATATGAAAATATTATTTTATTTAGTCTGTCGCAGAATTTCTAAAGGGACTTCCTTCGCATGATGAAAATAACTTTGCCAATTTTCATACTGATAATGGAAATCGAACCTGTGTTAAAAGGCCCTCGGTCTATCTTCCTACTAAAGATTATCCACCTGAACAAAGTATGTTCTATATATAATTTATTTAAAAATATAATTATAAATAATTATAGTAAGAACTACTGAAAATTTTTAATCTTTCAATCTGTTTATAGTTATAGTTACAGAAAAGACAACAATACTTCTAAGGTATCTTCATCAACAATGGGATAAAAAGGTATCGCAAGTATGTGATAAAAACCTATATTATAAGTTTTCAAAAAACTGTAGATTACATTTGTTAATATTAAATGTTATAGAATCCAGATAGGAAAAGAGAATTTCTGTCAGCTAACGGTGATGTACAAGATGAAAGTGCTACAATTCGCATTAAAAGGCCACGTCTAGATCTGAATAATACCCTTTAAATGACATCGCACATACTTTATATCTACAACAGCATACATTTATACGTACCTTAAGGAAATAATATAATATGGTATTAGCAATTACATTTTTTGTTTTGAAATCATGAAGTTATATCATTTTATTCTGTAAAAATTTTTCATAGTATCATCTTATTACTATAATTTTATTGAAAATATATGTTACATATATTATTTGTATTGTTAAAGTCAACAATTTTGTCGTTAATATATTTCTAAACAATGTATGTAAACAGCTATATTATTTTTTACAGTGGCGTCTACATAAATCCTACATAATCATCTACATGAAATATTTTAAATAATATTTATAGTAAGAAAAAAAAGAAATGTTTATTATGTCAGCCATGTATTTTATTTTAAACTTCCATTGTTTGGTAATATGTAAACATCATTGAGCAAAAATATCAATTGCGATTTATATAATATATTACTTTTTTGTACATTTTTTTAATATTAACAAATAGGAAGAATTTTACATATAGATTTATATTATATTATATGTTCGAATAATAAGAATCGATCATGCTTTGTAAGATTTATTATTAAAGTATTTATTTAAAATTGGTATAATGTATCATATAATTTATTTTTAAAATCTACTGATGCACTTTGGCATGATATAATGAAAAAGTATAAAAATGATTTACTATGTATTATTAATACCAAAGGTATCTTTATGACAAAATCATTGTTTTATAATATAATTTTTTAATTTAATAAATGTATTATAGATTGTCGTTAAAATAAATGAAATACAATAATACTATAAAGATGTAAAAAATATAATAGACCTGAACAAATTATACTTTTAAACATTTTTTATCAATATAATTATCTAATGATTTTAATACTATTTATATTACTCAGAATATTTATTAATAGTTACTAAATAATAGATAATAATATTTAATAAATAGTAAATCAAATTTGTAATACATTAATATAAGCAGTACAAGAAAATATATATAAAAATATATAAAACAATAAGATTGGACAAAACCAAAAATTTTAAATGAACTTCTATCTCTATAACACGATTGGTTTATGCATTTGACGTACATAACATAACCAAAAAAAGTTACACAGCAAAATATTTATTGCTATTTTTGAAGTGATATAAAATGTTATTTAATTATGATAAATTTGATGAATCGATGTATTTGAAATGGGATATCGTGCAAATGAGAAAGATATAATGATAGCTCACCTAGAAAATTCCGTGGCACCTCTTCTATATATAGGATTTATTTTTAGGTTGGAGCTAGCCATAGTTCGTATCAAGAATCTGTTTCAACGTTGAATTTCTAGGAGGTTTGTTATAAATGCGATTATAGTACGCGTGTAGATAAACAATGTATTTTTTATTTTGTTATTTTATTATGTTATTTTACAAAAAATATATGATTACCAAATTTGATAAAATTTTGGAATAAAGTTTTGTGTAAAAAAAAATTTTAATTAGGTACAAATTATATATTCTAATAAATATCTATATTTATATTTAGTCAGTTAATTTTTATTTAAAATAGATGATTTTTCTTAATTAAATTAATTACTTTGTCTTATAACACAAGTAAATAGAATTAAATTGACAATTGATATGGTGTAATATATCTATTTATTATTTTAGAAATAAAAATGGCAAATGACTTAATCCTTCGGGGCAAAGACAAACTCCAAGAAATTAGTATGAAATTAGAACAAAGTCATCTGGCTTATCTACAAACGGATGATAGTCCTTTAAAACTAGATCAACGCCGTAAGCTAGAAGGTATAAATGTAATAAAACATATTATATTTTAGATTCTATCGTAAAATAATAGAAGACATATTGTTTAAATTTTGTTAATCACAGATATTTTTATTATATTTTCAGGAATTATCAAGGAGTATCTCTACCTTGTTCCTAATGAAAGTAAATATATGTTTCATGAAACAGCAGATATTTTACGTAGATCTGCTGCTACATTACAAGATTTTAGCGGTTACAGAGCTGCCACTGCTTGGAGTGCTATTTCTTTATATGCTGCAAATCTTGTTGCACAACCTTGGAGAAAAGAATATAGGATATTAAGGGTTAGTATATATCATATATTTCATACGTTATTTCTTTATTTCTTTTATTTATATTGTTCTTGTCAAATTAAATTTTAATTTTATAGATTTACAGTGGATTTTACAAATACGAAGTACAAGCTAATTTAATAGGAGCAGAATTGATGTTCGAACAAATGGGATATAAACATGCAGGCAGGGAAGTGCTCGTTTTAGAAGGTCCAATAGATCCAGACAAAGTGACTAATGTTAGTAGAGATGCAATAGTGGCTTTTGTAGAATGTCAGGTATTATTTTTATGTATTTATCATTATCGCATCATTTAAACTTGTAGTTATATATGTTATTTAGAAATTAAAATTTTTGTTTCCAGATTTTAAAACAGATATGGGAAAGTGTCACAAAGAATTATACAATTTCTTGGCTAGAGGTTTTGGAATTCCGTGAGAATCATGTTGGAAATCCTGAACGAGCTATCAGAGCTTTGAGTCAACGTTTTCTGGAAAAATTACACCAAAGTCGTGTAAAAGTTGATATGTATAGAAATTATCATTATCCACAACTTGCAACCATGAATACAATACCACCACCTATTAATTATCATATGCCATCTAATAATTACAGTATACCATCATGTCCTTCGGACTATAGATGTATTAATGATGCAAATGTGATATCTAAAAATTACCATTATTTTAATTTAATGGATCATGGCATACTAAATCGTTATGGTACATATGGATGTATGCCACCTGGAAATAAATGTGGTAATATTTATAATAATCCCTATTATCCTACAGTACCAGCATATACAACAAGAGTACCTGCAGACAGACTAGTAGAGCTTAATATGCCACTTCCGGTCGAGAATTACGATAAAACATGTAAAAAATCATTACAAAGAACTTTCGACATGGACGAAGTGGATTTTCATAAAAGGCAGCCTATTGATTCAGATTATGATTATGCTAAAGTTGATAAAAAATATATAAAACCATATTCGAATATAGAAAAGAATACGCATGAAAGTTGGGACTTTGTTTATAAAAATTTAGAAAGTCAGGGATATTCAAAAGATCTTGGTGATAGAGAAGATATTTTAAACAAAACAGAGCCAGATTTAGGATTTCTCAAGCAGAAGCCATTAAGATCTTCTGAAAACGAGAAAGAGTATTATATTTATCGATTGGAGAAAGAAAAAAATGGAAGAGATGTAAAAGATACTAATAATCATATCACAAATGGAAAAAAACACCATCATGATACATTATCAATTAAAAAGAAATCCTCTTCTTTTGATTTATCAGATTCAAATAGATATCATAATAATGCTACAATAGAAAATCAATCATATTTACATGGTACAATGAAAAAACATGATAGTCGGATTTTACCAATGCAACGATCGCATCATTCATCTGAACAAATTTCAAGGATTACCAATTCAATTAATAATTTGGAATTGTCAGAATCCAAAAAAGAAGGTAATAATGAAGATAAAAATAAATGGAATTGTGCTACTTGCACCTACTTAAATTCACCCAAGAGAGAAATTTGTGAAATGTGTATGAAATCTAAATTTAAAGGAAATGAAGATAAACCACTAGCAAGTGGTGGTAAAGAATGTCCAAAGTGTACATTAGTAAATGAGAAAAATGTTTCTGTTTGTGAAGCATGTGGTGAAAGTTTGAAAGATTCTCCAACTTATATATAAAAGTATTCTCTCTTTATAAAAAGGTAATATTTTATTTCTGAATATGATTTACTTACGAGGAAAAGTATATAATTTATCCTTGCAAAAAAAGATAAAATTATTTGCAAATTAAGACAAACATGTGTTAATATTATCTACATATAGACTCCAGTTATAATGTAAAAACCTTTAGAAAATATTGTTATGTAATATACTACTTAAATATTTAAGTTTCAAATAAGAAAAATATGAAGTTATTTACTTTAATTTTTAATGTGCAAATAGGCTTGTGATATCAATATATTAGTATTATTATACTGATGTGGTGGCCTATAAAATATCTTTAATATAATTAATACAAATTTAAAATATAGATGAACTATGATATTATACACACGATTATACAGAAGTTAATTTCATATTAAACTTTTAAAGAGATTTATCATATTACTCTGCTTTATTTACTTAATAAAGAGTAGTATATATAGGGATTTAAAAATATAAATATTAAATAGTAACTTTCTTATGTGCTTACAATGATTAATTTTTCAGGTTTTTATTAGTGAATATATAACTTTGTAGTATTATTAATAATTATGGAATGTAGGTACTTTTCACACATGCCATATATTATCGTATAACTTATAAAACAATTTATTGCACAATAATTGGGGTAAAGCTCCTTGTTATGTAATGATGAAGACTATTGAAGATGAGTTGCCTTGATTGTACAAGAATCTAAAAATGTAACCACTGTTATCTTAAAGAATGCCAAATAGATGCAATATCTGTTTATTTTATTAATATGCCATTACGATTAAAGACATGACTGGGAAACTTATTAAAAAATAGTTTATATACTGTTGGAAATGATCTAAATTAATTTTTTATATGAAAAAAAAACAACTTGGTATTAAAATTCAATAAGATATTATTTATTAAAATTATTGTCTCTAAGATAAAAATATAATAGATGTTAAATGAAATTGTGTAATAATAGGAGCTATTTAACAAATCTTCAAAAACAAAGTTATCATATTATGATTGTAAAATTATTAGACTCTTCAAATGTCATTTATTATTTATTTAATTTATATATAAGCTGGGTATACTTTCAAAAATTCTAAATTTTTATTATATTGAGTGGTTAAATAAGGCCTAGTACAGCAAATATTAATGATATTTCTTGACAAAATTTTAAAAAATAACTTTTTAAATATATACTTTGTAGCGCAATAAGATTAACATAAAAAGAAACATGAATGAGAAGTCATAAAAATTAGAGATCTAGATATATTTGCATATATATAATTTTCTTTAATAATTTATTTTTCCTTGGTATAACATTTTGTTTAATGTTGCAATTATATTTCATATATTAATTGTTTAATTTATTCAATATTGTCATAATATAATAAACTAAAAATCAAATTTTTTTTTTAGCACTTTGTTGCTTTGCTTTCAAATACTTGCTTAAGAGATTTAAAGTTTAAATAACGAATAATAAAATAACATATATTACATTATAATGCATATTCAAACATTCCTCATTTACCTGATTTATTTGAGCTTAATTTTATTTATTTATGGATATTTATGTTGATATATTAAAAATTATAATATTTGTTGTTTTCTTTTAAGACAATCACATGTGACTTTTTAGGATTTGAAAATATCGATGTTTCTGTCATTATATCTTTACGAAATTTATTTGTAAAATATGACTAAACTGAGTAAATAAATATAAAATTTTGTTAATTTCTTTACTTAAATTTATGAAGATATCACGTAAAATTGAATGTTCTTTTTTTAGAGAAATAAGACTTCGTATTTAAGAAAATGTGTTCCACTTTTTTTTTTTTAATTTGCAAAATTCAGGTGCTTAATAAGTTATACCAAATTTCTGAAGTTGGTTAGATTTAGTAATTGACAAGTAGCATATACATATACATATACATATACATAACAGGTTTGATATAAATTTAGAAAAAAATTATTTTATCAATATAATTAACACATGTACTGAGAAAAATACTGATTAAACTTTTAAAATTTAAATTGAACTTTGGTAAAATATTATACATACAAAATATTTTTGTTTCTATAAAGCTACTCCTTCCTATATTTTAGAAATTAGAAAAATATTAATGTATATTTAATATATCAATTGACTATTCTAATATCTCAGAGAACTGATAATATTTTTTCATTAATAATGTATTTAAGTAGTGAGATAAGTGCAACACAATAGAAAATAATATAAACTGTACAATAAATGTAAAGATGATCGCATTAGAATAATTATGCTTACATAACATGCAATTAATTTTTTAATAATGTTATCCACATTGTAAACAGATAATAAATTACGTTTTGTATACATTGGAAGAATTATATTTTGATAATTGTTTCTTTCTTTATATATGTATATTGATATTAAATATATATTTATTAAATCATTAATATTTTGGGAAAAATTAAAGTAATTAATTAGTATTTATAACGTTATCTGATTGTGAAAATGAATTTATTTGATCTATATAAGATTATCATATGTACGTAAAATTATATGTTTAAGTATATAAATGCATAAACATTTTTAAATTAGACAATGTATAAATTATTCTTTTTTCTCCTTTATAACTTTTTCTAAAGATTTCATAGCAGCTTGATGAATTTTGTTATCTAATTTATCTGCAATGACAAATTCAAAATAAAATAGTTATATCTTTATTATAAATGTCGGGAAGAATATAAAATTACTTACAGATCTTTTGTTTTCCTTGTATAGGAAATTTGATAGGAAGAGTATAACAATTTTCACAAATAAAAACATAAGGACTTTCACTTTCTCCTTCAGGATACATTTTTCTGTACTGTTCTTGAGACAAAACATCAACAATTGTTACACAGCCTAACAAAGAACTAATAGGATAGTTTTCCGGAAATTTGATTTTCTCTAGAAAAATACAGAATATACGACATCAAATAAAAATACTGATACTTTCCTTCTTACCATCTTTTAAAACACGATATACATGTTCTGTTTCTGAAATGTTTTCTTTAGTAGGTGTTTTAGCTGTTGATGCTATCCATAATCTTCCTCGATGAGAAGAATACCAAGTTCGACCCTCGTGACTTATTAATTAAAAAAAATATATTCATTATAACATAATTTATTAATGCAGTAATAAAATTATACACTATTGTGCTATACTTACAGTTTTATCCCTGATACTAACAGCGAGGCATATGGTTGATGCATACTTAAACATAAACCTTGATCTGTTAGTTCCAAATATTCTTTGTCTTGAATTTTACTGTTTGTATTACTGTTCAATATTTGTTTATTAATACAGCTCTTCGTTTCTTGTTTAATATACTATATAAGACAGAAATCATTCAATTTCTCTTTTATTATTTTTTCAATTAATATGATAAGTAATAAGATTATATATTTACCACAGGACTGATGATATCTATGTTTGGATAAGCATTGCTATTTTCTGAGTCAGTATGTAATACCATTTCATATAAATTATCAAGTTGATCTTCGTTAAATTCACTATTCTCCTCATGGCCAACAAATACTTCTCTACCAACAAAATCTAAAGTTACTTTTCTACTTAAACGAGATGCATGTTTTTGAGCACTAATTTCTTCTTCACGTTTCCGTAATCTTTCTCGTTCTGCAGGTGTAAGCCATGTACTATTTGTTTGAAAGTAATCTGATTCATCGTCAATTACTTTCGTACGACGTGCGCTAAAACATATTCAAAATTATAATAAGATGTTTATTGTATTATTTGACTTGATAAGTATTGTTTTTTTTATATCCACCTATTACGATCATATTCCAAAAGTTTATCACGTTGTTTAATAGATTCTTCTAAACCCTTATTGGGTTTCCGATCCATTAATTTGTTATACAAATCATCAGCTAGCTTTGTATTACTAGAAAGTATAGCTTGTTGTTCGCGAGAACATACCAATGTTTCACAAAAGAAACATGGACCAGATCCTTCTTGAAAACAAACTATTCTGCCACAGTTAGTACAATTATTTATTAAAGAATGCTTTCTTGCTTCACAGTCGCATTTATGTCTACCTGAAACATAAACAATAAAAATTTAAAAATTCAATATTATTACCAAAGTATTCAAAAATACCATACATACATACATACAATATTATTTATTGAATATATTTATCCAAATTATATGAATATATTATACGAAGATACCTTTTAATAAAACAGTTTCTCTATCACGCCCTTCCTGCGAATACAAGTTAACAAATTTTGGTTTCTTCTTTTCTGTTTTATCTGTTTTCATTTCTTGAACCTAAAAACAAACAATATTTGCTCATAAGAACAGTACAAGTAACGAGAAACAAAACTATTGAAATCATTAAAATAAATTATTAAGATAAATTTTATCTTAATTATTATGGATATTTGAAAGTATATACCTGTATATTTTCTTTGCTTTTGGTCTTATTCTTTTTTTTTTCATTTTGCCTTTTCTTACAATCTTCATTATTATCATTTGTTTTCTTATATCCGGCTGGATCATTACAAGAAGCAGCTATAGGACATAAATTTTATTAATATTTTATTTAATAAAATTATTATTCTAATTAAATTCATGTATATATATATATATGCATGTGATCACGCGTGAGTGTATGTACATGTCTATATAATTACATCACTAACCTTGTTTTTTTTTCAATTCTGTTATAAATTGTTTATGTTTTTGATTTTTTAAATCCAATAAAGTTTTAAGATATTCATCTAAATCTCTTTCATTTCGTATTTTTAAAATATACCTAAATGTTTAAAAAATCTTTTGAAACATATTTCATAAAAAAAACAGCAATCATGTTTAATTATAAATATAGTAATGAACAAAATTATTCTTACTGTGTTAATTCTTCTGGAACTGGAAAGTCTAGTAAACCAGATAAACTTGTGTATATCCATTCTTCCATTATTATATGATTAGTAATTTTTTTATTATATATAGTAAAATAAATAAGTGAATAATTTCTCAATGCTTTTTTCTTTAGACATATAATCTACAATTTAAGTACATGACGTATCTATAAAGCAGATGGCGCAATAATTCGTCAGTGTTGTAACTTGACATGCATATATATATTTATATCATTTATCCGGATAGGATTGGTATTTACAAGTATCGTTTGTACATGTCCACTGAGTTAAGTGTTCAACATACTACAACCTAAATAACCTGTTTTGTAAATATTTATGAATGAAATTATAAATTATCATACCCGATAGAGAAAGTGTTAAAGAGATTTACTTGTGTAGATCGATTCATGTTCTATGAATAAAAATATTAACCTTATCGAAGAATATTTTTGTGATAGCTTATTATAGTTTATTTTTTATTTATTATTAATATAAAAATGTCTGAAGTAACGCCAGAAGAAAATCGTTTTAAGCATTCTTGGATGGTAAGTATTTTAATTAATATGTATTGTAAAAAAGATATATAATATATACATACAGACATTACATAATATATTTATTTTGTCAATTATATTTATTTATTTATTTATCCATCTCCTTTCAATAACTCATTTTCCAGATAAGACCATGTGAAATATACAAAGATGAGTACAGTGAATGCAAATATTGGAAATCCCGTTTTCATCAATACTTCATATATGGCCATAAGATTGATTGTTCTTCATGGAAGGAAGATTTTAAAAATTGTGAAATTTGGGCAGCAAATAAATCAGAGGATGCATACGTACGTAAATAATTTTATAAAATTATTTATTTGTATAGGATTCATTCCTTATTCCATGAACTTAATTAACTTCAATTATTCAAGTTTAAAATTAGAAATTCAATGATATAATATATTTAAATCGATAGAACTTTATTAATTTTTAGAATGCAATAGTAGAAAATGAAAAAAAACGTAGAATGAACAGATTAAAAGGACATTTTGAGAATAGAGTTTGGAAAAAGAGAGATAAACCACCGGAAGATTGGAATAAGCCTTTACCCGAATGGATGCAAGAAAACTTCAAAAATACGTATTTAGAAAAGATGAAGAATAAAGAAGCGCAAGAGGCGTTAGAAAAATTAAATACATATTGTGTCATAATGTAATATCCTTTTTTGGTGTCATACATTTATAAATAGTAATAAATAATTTTCTATCTTAAATAAGAAATGAAAATTATTAAGAATTACTTTGAAATAGATTCCGAGGGTAAATTTGGATTTAGGTCGTCTTTGACATTAAATACTTACGTAATTGAAATGAAAAGAAAAGGAAAAAATCGAGCGAAAAGGACGAACTAAAAGCGAAATATGTAACGGGTAGGGATAAGGAAAGGGAATGGAGGGGAAATGTAGGAGGGAAAGAAGAGGTAAGAATAACAGAGATCGTACGCACGCGGAAACCTGAGAGAGTCCCGTGAAAGCACGTGGGCGTGCGCGTAGTAATGTCAGTCATGCGCAGCTAAGGATTTTTCGTAATTCGGTTACGCTGCTACATAAGTGTTTACCCTCACTCTTTCCCAGGAATAGAGAGAAAGAGAGAGTAAACGATGAAGTTAGAAAGAGAAAGAGAATGCGAACGATCACAAAAAGGCGACTACGACGACACCCGGTGGAAGGCATGAGGAACGCGTTATGTGAGCGGGTTGCATCCTCCTTGAACAATCATAACTGATAGTCATCATCATCATCATCATAAAAGTGGAGGAGAAGGAGGAGGAGGAGGAGGAGGAGGACGAGAAAGAGGAATATATTCGACAATCCTCGTCTCTTCCAATTTTTCGTGTATGTTATATGTAAAACTGATCAAAACACAATTACCGTTGGATAAAACGATAGACCGCGTGTAGTTACCAAGTGAGGTGTCCGCGCCATGTTGAATGGATGACGCAATCTGTACACAAAACATTCTGCGTGTATCGCGAAGGGAGCGGTTTCGACCAACGAATCGCAAAGACTTTATAGCCTTTTTATTCTTCGACAAGACGCAACCTCCCTTTTTCTTTCCTCTCCCTCTCTATAATTCTCTTTCGTTCTACCTCTCTCTCTTTCTCTCTCTCTTTCTCACACTCATTCACTCAGTCCTTTACCCCCACTCATCCATCCTTTCACCCCTTCTCCCTCCCTCCCTCTCTCTCTCTCTCTCCTTCTCATTCTCTTTCTCGCGTTCTCTCATTTATCTACTCGCTCGTGTATAGGAAGGCGCGTCACGCGTCGATAGAGTAACGATACGTTCTCGTGGACAAGCTACTACGAAGATAGATCGTTAGTGTGACTCATACGTGTTTATTCTTCTTCTTATTATTTTGATTCTTATTCTTCTTTCTTTCTTTCTTTCTCAATATCAAAGAGAATCCCTGTCTTCTTTTTCTTCGATCTTTCTTCAAGCAAACGGTGCCTCGTCGCCGCTCGCGTCGTTTTACGCGTACGCGTACGCGTGCGCGCGGCCGCGCGCGTAACTTTCGCATCGACGGAACGAAAAAACAAACGACGAGAGGATGGCCGCGAAAACTAGTAACGATCTTGTTGACTATCTCGGAGAATATAGGAGATACTTCGAGGAGTTCGTTAGAAAAATTAATCCGGAGGATCAATTGCCTATGAAGGTTAATGCTTACAGTATCACCGAAACAGAACTCGTGGGTGAGATCATCTATTTGACGCTACAATACATCAAACAACCGTAAGTATGCTATCTAAATTATCTTTCCCTTTTTTCAGCCTCTTCTTTTTTTTCTTTTTTGGTTTCTCTTTCTTCTTTTCTTTTTCTTTGTTTTTATTCTTTCCATTGGAAATAAAACTTATCGATTAATTCGTATTTCTCTCCATGCGTCGTCCCAATAATCGCCATTTGATTTTCCCGCTCTTTGTTAAAATTTAAATCGCAATTCGCCAATTGGTGCAAGCTAGTTCAATGCTCAATGTTATCATCGTGTGCTCATTGTCTTTCGTTAATCTTTGAACGTGGGTTGTAATGACAAGAGAGAAAGAGAGAGTGAGAGAGGAGAGTGTGAGAGAGTGAGAGTGAGAGTAAGAAAGAGAGGGAGAGAGAGGGAGGGAAAGAGAAAGAGAGAGAAATAAGAAATAATTGTATCAATAAAAATGGAATATTTTATATATTTTGGCGCGAAGATTTTATATTGTCATAAAATATACATACATATATATATATATACACACATACGTAATATTTTCTCCGTCTCATTTTCTTTTTTGTATAATAAATAATCATCGCAAAAATGGTCATACACGAATTTAATAATAAAAATATATCTAAGTTTTCTAAAAGAGCATTATGCATATTTCTATTTTTAATACTTCCCTTGCGGTTCGCCAGTGTAATCCTGTTAACTACTGGGAATCAAAGCTGAATTTTTATAGACTCGAATCATTGTTGTAATAGACTAAAAATGTAACGTTTAGTAAGCGTTTTAAAATAATTCAAGGTCTGGATAATTCGTTATGACGCAAACAAACGTCAAAGAACTTCTTTTTACTTTTTCTTTTTTTCTTTTCTTTCTTTTTTTTTTTCTTTTTTTTTATCTACTTTGATATTCACCGCATATCACGTAACATGTGACTTGATAACAGATAACCAATAACAAAGATTTAAAATATAATATTATTAATCATTTTATTAATTTTTATTTTTTTTTTTTCATTTATAGAATTATTATATGAAGAGAACAATAAATGAAAATATTATCAAAAGAATACGTAAAATATATATATACACATACACGCGCGCGCGCGCGCACACACACACACCACACACACACACACATATATATATATGATTATATCTGTACTAAATAAAAAATCATTAAGATGTAATCAACGATTTATGGAAGTCGTTTGAAATATCGTTTTGCCATTATCTCGCTCTTTTCGCTAGACATCGTCTGAAACAAAAAAAAAAAAAAAAAGAAAATAGTAACATATTTTTGTATATATAATATTTCTTATAAGAAAAAGCATGTATCAGATAAAAATATTTTTTTCTTTTTTTTTTCTTTTTTTTTTTCAAAGATTAATCTCATTTTTCCAGATGGCACAGCTACGTAAACTTTTCGTTATCACATTTCACAGTTTGTTTATTCGTTCTTTTGTTTGCATCTTTTACGTTAGCATTTGTCACATGTTGTTACTTAGAACCATTCGACCATGATCATTCGAAATATACATATATAGTATACATATAGTATATATATAGTATATATACTACATATAATGTATACATACAATAGTGAAAAATAAGATCTTACGAAAGTTTATTTTAAAAAATGGCGCTTTTCCTTTCTCTTTTCTTTTCTTTTTTAATCGTCGTACGATAACGATATCATTCTTTCTCTTATCAGGTTATAAATAATAAAAATAAAAATAAATAAATAAATAAATAAATAATAAAAAAAAAATAAGACAAAATAATAAATCAGCATAAAATCATTAAAAGTCGAAATAAAACTGATTAAATTAGTACTACAACTTACCAAGACGACACTGTCGTCAGTGAAATCATATTTCCGTACGATTTTGCTGTTATCAGGCCTGTATGATACCGTCACGAGACTGTCACCGTCCATGGTTGTAACATTCTAAAGAAATATAAGAAGTATGTCGTATACGTAATGTATGAACTTGCAAAATACATACTAATTCAAGTTAATGAGAAAAAAATATCGGTGATTACTTTTAATGTTTCACCGGAAAGCAAATCTTCGTCGTATTCTTCTCCAAGAACAAACGTTAATACTATTGTACGCATCATAGATACGGTACGAATTGTCCATTTTTCTCCTTCGTTTGAAATTTCTAAACGTGGACTTGCCAAACCCATCATTTTTCGTGCAATATATGGTACTCCTTTATGTATATATTTTATATATATATTTTACATAAAAATATATATATATATACATATAAAAATAACGATTACGAGATATGATATATTTCTGTATTATGTATTTTTCAGAATATTATAAAAAAAAAGGGATAATTAAATTTTTCTAAAATTCCTAATCGAAATCCTACCTAAGTCTTTGAAGTATTCGTCAATATTTTCATTACGTTCGTGTTGATATGTTCCAACGATCGGTGCCATCTCTTGATATTTAAATTGAAATTCGTTTGTAAAAATGTTGTTGAATGTTGTTTCGTTCGTATCGTTTATTTTTTTGTTTATTCACTTCTCTTTTCGAATCTTCCAACAAATTTCTTCCTTTTCGTTATTCCTTGTTTTCCTGTTAATGATCCATCAAAATGAAATTACAGTATTTGTAATCTTTTGATCGTCTACGTTGGTCATACGTCATATTATCGTCTCCGCTTGCAGATAATTTTTTTTTCTTTTTTTTTCTCTCTTTTTTTTTTTTTTTTTTTTTTTTTTTTTTTTTTTTTTTTTTTTTTTTTTTTTTTTTTTTTTTTTTTTTTTTTTTTTTTTGATACACATCGTATTGTTACAATATACTTTGTCATTAGTTAATAAACTTGTCATATCTATTATTATGATATGCTATCTTTTACCGTCTATTTCAAGAGGCTTTTAAATATTGTAAGTTTAGTGTGTGTGTGTGTGTGTGTGAGAAAGAGATAATTTATGTTAATTAATTACGTTAAGATCATTTTTCAATTCGAATGGCTAATGATTAGTCAGTTTATTATATATATTTTTCTCTTTTCCTATATTAATGATATGAATATACTTATCATAATTTTGTACCGAATATGAATTTTTATTTATATAAATAATAGAATTTATTTTTTCTTGGTTCAATTTTAATAAATTTTTGAAATGAAAAATTTATCTTGATAGAAACGTTGACGCAATCACGATGATATTTATAAAATGTAAATATTACATTTATTTTATTAATTTTCAAGTGTTTATACGCGTATACATTTTATAAAATTCTTTTATCAAATGGAATATGTGACGTATTCAGAGCGTTCATATAATCGCGCGAAGTTAATCAATATCTTATGTGTGTGTATGTGTTTTTCATATTTGAAATAATATTATTCTATGTAATTAATTGATGTTTCTTTATGATTTTATAGACGTTGTCCACGTAATTTACAAGGATATCTCGTTCGTCTTGTATTGCAAGAAATAAAGGAATTATGCGAGAAACAACCGGAAGAATGTGGGTTCAAATTAGAAGCAAAAAGTGAGTGAATTTTATTCTTTACATTTATAATTTGTATAAATTCAATGTTAACGAATCTATTAATAATTTTATTTGCTTTCAATTATTTGACAGCATACGCTCCGCTCAAACTTATGCAAGCAGTTACAACCAAAGTAAATGAAATATTTACTCGCTATTTAGACAATAGTAGATTAGCAATGTTACCTCCACCTTCTTCGAAATTGCCACCTTTGGCAAGAAGTGCCGCACTGAAGAATGGCAAAAGAAAAATGGAAGATAGACACGTAGAGATTTATGACCTACATACTATTTGTAATGTACAGGTGAATAAGCGCAATCATCTTTTCATTATTTATTAATTTGTTAGTATCAACATAATGGTAAACATGCATGTTTTATCATAGAATGACTCCTTAGCAAGTTACTTCGCAGTATTTGATGGACACGGAGGAGAAGATGCAGCTGTCTATTGTGCTACGCATCTACATCAGTATTTAGCAGAGAGTATATATTATCCTACAGATCCAGAGCGTGCCTTATGTGACGCTTTTCATACTACTGATACAAGATTTATTGAAAAAGAGAGAACGCAAGTAAGATTTTTTTGTAGAAGTAATTTAATAGAATTATTGTTGTAGCATTAATAAAATTATATTGTTTTTTCAGAAAGTAATTGGAGGTACAACTGCAGTCTGTGTATTATTGTTGGATAAAAAATTATATATTGCTTGGGTAGGAGATTCTTTAGCTATGTTAGTGAAACGTGGCAAAGTGGAAGAATTAGTATACCCTCATAGACTATCTCGATATGTAAGTAAATATTTATGATTATATATTTGCATGATTTTAATTATAAAAAATTATGTATTTTTCTTAATTGTTGTTTTTTTTTTGTTTCATACGAAATCATTATTATAAAACAAATATTTTCTATTCAACAACAACTCTTTTAACTACATGATCATATAAGATAACATGTTTATATGCATCACTATATATACGTACTCTCGTAGTGTCTACACCCGGTGTAATAGCCTTTGGATCAACATTAATATATTTTCTATCATGAATATTCTTAAGTAAAAGGCCATGTTTTGTATCTATTATTGGTTCATAATTTGATGAAACATTTAATTGTGTTTTTCCTATTTTCCAATGATAGTATGCTATATCTGTAATTCTAGGCCAAAGCTTTTTTTTCCCTTCAAAATATGGTTGCCAATCTTCCGTCTTAAGTCTTTCATTGAAATCTATGTAACCTGACACTTCGACTTGAAGACGTGGATTATGTCGTACAAATATAATCGTTGATAGTACATGTAATCTATTAGATCGTTCGCGGATTGCTAATTCTTGCATAACTGGATCAAAAGGAATTAAAAATTCAGAAGTAAGATGATATGGTTTGGGAATTGGGTACAATAAATCTTTGACAGTTTGTAGACGTCGATAGAAAGCATCTTTATCTAAAGTTTCTCCTGTACATTGATAACCAAGTTCTGCTAATTGACGTGCAACTTTTGTACTCCTTAAATAGCAGAAATCCACAGGAGTTATCAAAGAATCTAAATATTCTTCATAATTTTTAAATTGTAATAATGTTCTGTCGCTATCGACTTGTGTACCTGGACTAGTCATTCTGGTACACAAGAGAATTAAATCGTATAAATTTATAGTATAATTTTAAAACTGTTTTAAGGAAGTAAATTTGTTCTTATAAATATATTATAAAATTTAGAAACTTTTTACATATGGAGAACTTATTAAAAAACTGAAGTTAGTTAATTATTCATATAAACGATTAAAAAGAGATGAAGAAAGAAATGCATGTTGTTTATAGAATGTTTATTAAATCATGAAATATAAACTGAGGAGTATAATTTTTTTCTTTGTTTTGTTTTGTTTTTTTTTCTTTTTTTTTTTTTTCAATAGGATGAATCCGAGAGGATACAACAAATGGGTGGGATGCTGGCATTTAATCAGGGCACAGTGCGAGTTAATGGAGTTCTAGCCGTGTCCCGTGCTATTGGTGAGTAGTTTTATTGATTATTGTTCATGCAAATCGCATATTGCTTTTACTTTTTTGTGAGAAAAGAGAAAAAAAGAAAAAAAAATTATTCTAATCTGTCAAAGAGAGGATGAGTTTGTAAGAATGAGATAAAGAAACGGCGCAGTTTCAAAGGCGTGGCAGTTATTCTTTTTTAATTAGAATAAATGTGATCATCAAAATTGTTTCACGTTTACTCACACAAAGTTCGCGATTAGACGGTTTATATATCACCTTCAGGTAATTGTCAGTTTTCCAACGACGCCCTGTTTCCCAGCAACCGTGTTCACTATTTTCGGCAGATTATCGCCAACTTTTTCTTTTCACGATAAATTAACTAATATTCTCCAATAGATGGCAGCATTTTCGATCGATAAAGGTATCGTCCATATCACTAGATAAAATTTAAAATTTACCGACGGTAGTTAATTATTCGATTTGGTCGATATGAAAGAAATCTACGATAAATCTTTATATATTACAAATTATTATATAATTATTTTTTTCAATTTATTATAATAGTAATGTGATACTTCAATTTCTTTTATATAAGAAATATCTAATGAAATGAATATAATGATATTTTTGTGGTTCAAGGATATGAATGATCGTAAAAATGTTAATTTCCAGAAAGGAAGATATTTCCAGACTAAATTTAAATATTATTTTTTAAATTTATAGTTAAAATAATCTAGAACTAGTTTCGTTTACAGATCAAAATTTATTCATTTGCATATATATATTTATATACATATATATAATATATACACATACAAGCATGAAGAAGCCAAGTAGGGTCGAGTTCAACGAAGTGTCGGTCGTTGGCCAACTATGGCTTGGATGATGATAGAAAATAAAAAGAAAAAAAATTCTGGACGCGTGTCGGGTATCCTGTTCTTGGTTCCGTTCAGCCGCTGACACAATACTACGTGCAGCCACGTTACGAACGAATACACACTTTACTGGGTGGCATGTAGAATTATATGTGTTGAATAATTAACAATCTATTATACTATTTCTGTGGTATAGCAAGTTGTACATACTTTATGATTAGATAGTAAATTAAACGTCGAATTTTTTAAGTAATATATTATCTACGATATTGACTCGATCTTATTTTCTGAACAAATTTATGAGAATTATGAATTAACGTAACGAATACGATCGATGTGTGAAATCAACACTTTATACGTCTAGAATTGTTATTTATCAGTAGAGATTCGTTACAGTGTATCTACTTTAATCTCTATATAGTAGAGAAGGAGCAACATAAATTTATAATAACCGGAAGCATTCTCAAGAGTTGCGTCGTTATTTAAATTAGCTAAGCTATTCATTAAATAGATAATTACATTTAATTAAGAACAGGTCGAACGCGGACATACATATATATATATCTATTCTATACTATAGCGGTACGTTTTCACAGGTTGTAAGATTATTGTAAATGATCCAGGACTGTTATTTTATTTTATTAATAACGATCAACAATATTTCAATCATTTGATAGACGATAAAAGTTATTAAAAGTTATTAAAAGGTTCTAATAATGAAATACATATGTGTATTATTTAGAAAATGTCCATGAAAAACAAAAGATCTTTTTTACTTATTCAAAAATATATTTATTATTTTCTTAATTTCTTTTTTTTTTTTTTTTTTTTTTTTTTTTTTTTTTCTTTTTTTTCCAGGAGACGTACAGTACAAACCCTATGTAACGAGTACTCCGGATACACGTTGCATTTCTTTAGATGGTACCGAGGATTTTGTTATAATTGCTACCGATGGAGTTTGGGACTTTATCAACACATACGATGCTGCTATGATCATTTACGTCGCGATACGAGAATATCCTGGTGGGTAATAAGTTTTTCTTTTCTTTTTCAAAAGATTAAAAAAAAAAAAAAAAAAAAAAAAAAAAGAACAAGTTATTCTCTAAATGATTTTCCTGAAATCAAGTCTAAATGAACAAGACTTTCTAAATAGATTTAAACATACGAACTAAGATAAACTTAAAGATCAAGAAATAGATATATACATAAGTTGCTCATATGTCATATATTTTTTATTTAACTTCGCGAAACGAGAAGTAGAGAAATTTGATAAAGTTACATAGATCGTAGATAACATTCTTTATTATTATTATTAAACGGCGATAATTTTTTTTTCTTTTTTTTTTTTTTTTATATCATGTAAAGATGTTAAATCCAATTCATTCGAGGAAATTTATTTTAAATGTAAAAAAGTTAAGCGATAAAACCAAATGCTTCGGCAATTGAAATTTAAAAAAGAACAAAATATTCTTGAAGTTAGAGTTAATCGCTTTGACCTTTAAACGGCATGTATGTATGTGTGCATGTGTGCGTGCGTGCATGCCTCAAAGAAAAACGTCAAGGTCTTATTCTTAACAGTACTATTGTTTTAGAAATTTGTTCGTCTCTATAACGGAAGATTTATATTTTCGCGCTTTTCTAAATCGCTTGCCAACAAACTGTGTCCAGTCGTTCTCTTCGCGGCGATGTCATGCTCTGTTTCGTTTGACGTTAGCACTGGAATAGGAAGACATTAAACATACATACATACACATACTTACATATATATATATATATATATATATTATTATTACAAATATTATATATATATAATGTTTCTTAAAGTAATTTCTTTCATAAAACGATTTGCATCAACGATTAGATCCTACTTTGGTATGTGTCGTTAATTCTTTGAATAATCGTCGCCTTCTTTATTATTATCCTTTGTTGATTCATTCATATATATATATATATAGCGATATATATATATATATATATATATACACATATATATAGCGATCGTAATTGGGAACGTGTCCAATTGGAACGTTCGCCGGCGGACAAATTACTTGCTTTTCCCATTGTTTGCGAGGCAACAGGACCAGGTTCCGATCTTTGGAGGATGATGTCAATGACCATCCTACGCCTACTGAGCTCTTAATTACACGAACGTGTAATAAACTTCTCTAAAGGATATAAATAGCCAATTATCGTTTATGGTATGGGTAGGACCAATACTCTTTTTCTTCCTTTTTTTATTTATTTATTTTTTTTCATTTCATTTTTTTTTTTCGATTTAATTTCACGATTATTTTTAATACAACACACACACACACACACACATAGACACATACACTCACACTTACTCAGAAAAAATTTAGAAGTAAACGACACAGGAACAATCAAGAAAATAAATAATTTATTAAATCAATCTCACTGTGTTATTTCTAATCGTTCGTATATTTTTTTTTAAATGGATCTTCAATATTTAAAACGAACACACGAATAATCGAGAAATTGAATTATTTACTCGATTGATCTTACAGTGATTTATCTAATAATTTGTATATTTCTTTTTATATGGATAATGAACATATAAATGTTGAAGGAAATGAAATTATTACTCGATCGATCTTAAAATGATACTTCTAATAATTCTTAATAGTATATTTCATAAGGATTAAAAAATAAAGAAAGAAAGAAGGAAATTAACATATCATTGATTGAATAAAATGAATAAATACACTCTATTATTATCTTTATATAATATATTTTCAATCGGACTTTTAATTTATGATATTTCATGAGGATCAACGAATACCGACTTGTAATCAACGAATACATTGAACAAATATGATCAAGAAAAAATCCAATTAAATGTTATAAAAACAATAATATTGTCTGTACTATAACAGCGAGTATCATTAGCAATGGACTTAGAATCTAAGCTGTAGGAATCTTAGAAAGTAATAATCGTATATCAATGGATTACATAATAACGATTTGTTGTTATAAAATTGACGGTTTATAATTATTCTATCGATCGCGTTTAATGCAGTTTAAAAAAAGTTTTCGATTCGACATAATATTAGCATTAATTTTCGATTTTCTATTGAAAAATATCGACGTTGAAAATCGATTGCGATTCGTAAGCAAGGAAATGCGTATGTTCAATCTACCTTAGCTGCTCGTACACGTTATGATCAAGGAACGAAATAAAATTGAAAGCCAGCGAGCGATCGTCCGTGAGGAAGGGAATGTGCAAAAGAGAGAGAAAGAAAGAGAGAGAGAGAGAGAGTCAGATAGAGAGAGACGAGAATGTCTGAGCCGGCATGGCCGTCGAGTGCATCCTAGCAGGAAGAACACGGCGGAGTATATAAAGCCCTCTTTTCAGAATAGTAGTAGACCCTCCCCATGCGCAGGGAATTCATTAAACATTTTCATTTTCGCGCTTTCGAGTCCAAACAACGATCTCGCAGGATTTCTCTCTCTCTCTTTCTCTCTCTTTCTCTCTCTCTCTCTGTCTTTCTCTCTCTCTCTCTCTTTCTCTCTCTCTCTCTCTCTTTCTCTTTCTCTTTCTCAGCTGTCTTCCTCGGTGTTCTTAATGAAGATAATTTTCTTTTTTCTTTTTTGTTTTTGTTTTCTGACGAAAATACAAATATATATTTTTACTCGTTAGCGATTATTAATGTGATTCTATTCATTCAAAATGCATTTCTATTTTCTATTTGATTAATATTTTTATTAATTAATCGTTAACATTTAATAAGATTAATGGTCAATATATAAGAATATTTTTATCAGTATAAACAATTATGCGTTAAGGGTTGGGTCACTGTTATTATACACTTTAAGTTCAACTTCAAAATCAACCTTTTTCAAATCAAATTTAACCTTTCAACGTTATTGATGGTGGCTTTTTTTTTTTTTTTTTTTTTTTTTTTTTTTTTTTTTTTTTTTTTTTTTTTTTTTTTTTTTTTTTTTTTTTTTTTGATCAATAATTTAGTGTATAAGCTCTAGTATCGATAAACTTAAATCAAGTCATTTCTGTTCAGTATCAAGCGTACAATTTTGTCCGGTAGAATTTAAATTTCAATATTTTTCGAATATAAATTAATAACATTGCCGTTAGACTTTAATAATGTATTGCAGCACTGTAAACATAATCACATTAAAAAAAAAAAAAAAAAAAAAAAAAAAAAAAAAAAAAAAAAAAAAAAAAAAAAACCGGATTTGATTTTGATTCATTGCAGAATTGCATATAATCAAAACAATGCAAAGTTATAGAAAAAATCAAACTCATCATAAGAAAGAACAAACGAAAGAAATTTTTAAATGAATTTCTTTTTTGTATAAGTATATTTTTATACACACATAATTATGACTTATGATGAATTCTTAATTACTATTAAATAAGTATATTTATATCGTATTATTTTACATCATTTATCTATTATAAAGAAACCGACAAGTTTACATTTGATTATATTTTTTATTGTTAAAATATCAGAAGTTTAAAAAAAAAGGAAACCTTTTAAGAAAAGTATGATTAGCAGAAAGTTGAATTTGTTTTTGCAAAACGAAGAAATTGATTCGCGAAAGAGGTGAGAATTTGAAAACTACCATTTTATTAAAAACATTGATCATTTATTATAGAAAATACAGATCGAATAAAAAATAGGAGTCATTTGAAAAAATATCTTTATTCAATGGTAATTTATCATCCTCCATGGGATTATACGAATGCGATGTTACGTTTCTAATTATAAACAAAAACAAGTATAATAAGTACATATTTGAAAAATGGATATACGAAATATAAAGGTAGTTTAAATAGAGAGAAAGAGAATGAGAGATAGAGAAAGAGAGAGAGAGAGAGAGAGAGAGAGAGAGAGAGAGAGAGAGAGAGAAAAAGAAAGAGAAAAAACAAAATATAAATTCGTTTTTGTTTCGAATCTCTGTTATTATCCTTTGACTCTACCAAAGCGATAGGGGTCGACCTATCAACAGCAGCACCAGAGTACCAACAAGAGAACTCTCTCTCATTCTCTCTCTCTCTCTCTTTCTCTCTCTCTCTCTCTCTCTGTCTATGTTGCTTTCGTCCTCCTCCGGCTTGAGAGTTCGACCGAAGGTCTCGCCGAGCATTCGTTCGTTCGTCAGCCGTCTGCGAAGTCGTCTGACAGAAGCCACAACGCCGTTTCTCACCTTACCAGTCGCTCGCATTTCATCGATCGCTGAGGATCGATCCTTTGGCTTATATACACATATATCGACGTGTTTTCTTTTCTTTTTTTGTTTTTTCTTAATCTTTATCGACGTAGTTCGTTTCTCTCTCACTTTCTCTCTCTCTCTCTCTCTCTCCCTCTCTCTCTCTCTCTCTCTCTCTCTCTCTCTCTCTCTTTCTATCTTTCTCTTTTCTCCTTTTTTCTTTTATATATATATATCTGGTCTTATATATATATATCTTTTTCTTTCTATCTCGTGAAAATATAACTCTATATCAAAGTTTCCATTTTTATTGCTATTTTATTATTTATTTATTTATTTATTTATTTATTTATATATTTATTTATTATTAAATCATATTTATGTATCTGTTGTATCATCGTAACGCGAATTTTTCATTTTGAAAGATTTTAAAATGGAAGCCAAGGGATCGAGATTGTTCGTTTTTATTTATACGATATAATATATATATATACACATATATATATATTTGTATATTTATATATGTATATAGATTCTCTCTCTCTCTTTCTCTCTCTCTCTTTCTCTTTTTCTTTCTCTCTCTCTTTCTTAGATATTTTTCGTATATACATTTATCTCACTTTGTAGAATTGTCAGTTGTATTGTTCGATAGAGAGAAGGTGCTTCGAGAGAGACCGGGTGATTCATAGTGATTGAGAGTGCATCGAAAGGAAAGAAGTGGGGGATATTCTATATATCTTTTTTTTGCGATTCGAACTTTTGGTGAGTAACAATTTCAAAAGTTAACTTTTCTTATTTTCTCCTTTCTTTTTTTTTTATCTACAGAATCATCGATA